AAAGTTGCAACCAACTATTTTTTCTCTTTTCAAAAGAGAACTAAAATTAAGGAGAGAACCATAAAAGGCTGAAATGGATTCGTTCCACTCTTTTCTCTCGATCATTTTACATGTATCTATTCGTTGAACTTTCAATCAACAGTCCAATATCAAATATTTTAATCGATACATTTTGATAAATAATTAATGTTTAAAAAGTTCTCCGTTTTAAGTGCCGATTTTATCAAAGTTTAATATGGAATGTCATTTCCGTTCTGAGGTTTCTAAAAAGTTCTTATAAAGATAAACGTCTAGCCATAACTATTGAATCTTTACCTAAAGAATTTCTTTATTCTTCAATCAAATGCAACCGTCAGCACCACCCATCAACGAACAGCCATCACCACCGCCAAGCTATGAGGTAGCCGTAAACTCTCTCGGTTCTTTGTCTCTATTTTTTCTCAGCATGGGCAAATGCAAGTTCTCCACAGTAAAGTGGGAACTATATGAGATATCAATTTTGTGAATTTACTTCAATATACTAAATTATTTTGGCTATCAAATGACGTTTTTCAGAGAACGCTGAAATGGCCAGTGTGGGTGTGTGCGCTCATCATCATACTCATCACCATCGCCCTGTTCATAAGTCCTAAACGTCATGTTACATAAATAGTCCCAGCTTTGGTGTTTATCGTAAAACGTGTATTATCTGTGTGTTTTTGCCATTTACTTTTTGATCTCTAAAATTTATTGTACCATCGTAGCACAATTGAGTAAACTTTCACATTCACACTCACTATTCACAAAAAGATTCGAAAAATCGGCTCACACGCAATTATCCTTGTCGTTTTGTGATCCCAGCGATCAGAAATGTTTTACATAAAAGAATGAGTTCCAGGAATTTCAAAGTAGGGAGACAGATTGTGGGAAAATTTTTTGTAGACGAACACTTTTACGAGTTCCAAACTTTAATTTGAAAGCTCAGTGAATGGTTCCGGGTCACATATTACTCTACTAGTTCACTCAAATAATTATTTGGAATTTTATAGAAGTCCTTCGTCTAGAGTTGACTGAGTTGAAGTGAGTGAGTCTACTACAGTGAGTTGAAGATGAGTAAGTCTGAAACAACATAGACCATTAATTTCAGATGTAAAAAGTCACCAAATTTCCCATGTTGCTACGAAAAACTTTCTGGTGAATTATTTGAACGTTCGCTGTTTTTCCTCTTGGAAATGATGATCACAGAAGAACAGGGTCGGCTTATTTTCTATTTACTAGCTTTAAATTTATCCTTGAAACTTAATCTTGCAAAGTTTACGAACCTTTTTGTCAGTTCAAATTTCTTTTCAGAAGATCTCCTGATCGCGATGAACGCGACCGCAACGAAATCGACTGATATCCAGAGTGTCGTCGAGATTTGCATAATGGCTTTCGTATGGTTTTTTTAGTTTCTAGAAAAATCTAGATTAGTGTTACAAAAGGAAACCGCTAGTGTAAAAATTAGTGCCAAAACTGAACGCAGAGCAAGTTGGGTTTCTCTCCAACAAACTTGGTACTTAACGAAGAGCTTTCCAGATGGGCATTCTCGGTATTTGCATCGGTGTCTGGGCGATCCTTGTCGTCCTGGGTAATTCATTTCTCCAAGGAATGGTCAAACAGTACATGATGATAGACTTGGTCGGCAATTTATTCGTCAACGTGTGCCATTTGTGTTGGGGTGTCCCATGTGCTATTTGGTTTATTCACCCAACCAACTCCTAACCGCTCTTTAGGAACCTCGACACATTACTTCCTCTACCCAACTACTTAATTGCTGGTCTTGCCTTCACTCTTGTTGTGGCTGGGTACAATCCAAAAGTGAAGCTCATCTAATCAATGTTTTTACTAAGGAAATTCAGCTTTTCCTTGGCATCAATCGCTTTTTGGCACTAGCCTTCGACGGACGATATTTCGCCTCTTTTGAGAGACTGAAATATGTGCAATATGGAATTATGATTGGACTACCGTTAGCCACTTATATTAGCTTCATGCTTCGTTGGGATTTCGTTGAAACCCTCATTAATATGGTTTAGCCAATTGTCACGCCGTTTTTCTCGCTCACGGATTGAACTATTTTTGGGTGGAAAGCGAGTGTGGGGATGAGTTGAACTTCTACATTGTGGTCAGCTTATTTCACAACAAGAAAAACTTTTCCAAATTTATCAATTGCAAGAAAACGCTCTTGCATCCATTTTGTTTATTTATTGCTTACGGTACACAAAAATTTTGATGCTGAAAAGCGTGCCCACCGCAGCCCACTTACTATTAGAAGCTAAAAGAAGTAATTATTTGGAAAATTAAAGCTCTAAAAACTCAACCTATTGGGTTGGTGAATTGAAAATGGGCTATCATTTCAAAGTTATTTTTTGAAATGACTAATGTATCAATACGCGGTTTACTTCCGTCAAAAGATCTACTAATTCTCCACAAAATGAGTTGTAAAAGATTCAAAAAAATTTTTGTTTTTGGAGCATTTTATAAACGAGAACTCAGATGATTAAAATGGCACCGATTTGGTGTTGAAATTAGAGCACTTTAGCCACAGAAATTTCTTTTTTGTCAAGAGAAAAAAAAGTGGAGCATAAAAAGTTAGCCAATCGCTAAATTTTCGGCTTGATCCGTTCAGCCGTTTTCATTGTACATTGACTATCGGAATAGATTAGTCATTTCAAAAAATAACTTTGAAACGATAGCCCATGTTCAATGCACCAACCCAATATTTTGGGGTAGAGTTCATTTTCAATGACAACAGGGCCTTCTCGCCTATGTCTACCTCACCCTCACGGCCGTCGTCGATTTCACCATTTTCTTCATGCTTCGCCGCCGCATTCGTGCCTTTCAAAGCGATCAACGTCGTCAAACGAGTCAACAAGCGAGAAATCTACGAAAAGAGTACAAATTGGCGGCACAAGTGAGTAAAGCGTGCATTCAATCCATCAAGTTCTATGAGTTTGATGCATAGTGACCATATTTAACTGGAACTAGAAAGCGGAAATGGACTAGTCTGTTAGATAACCCTTTGACCCTGTGGCTCAATGCTTATATTTCGACCCAGCTCGACCAGGTTGGCTGTCCTCTCAACAACATTCACTTTCCCCTTCCTTTCTCAAGAAGAAACTTCTTTGATTCTTTATTCATTCTAAGCTAACCAATCTCTCAAACGTCACAAAATTGTTCTTAACAGCAAAAAGGTGCCAAGTCTTAAAATTAACAAATTCCTCTTCTTTTTCATCTACATGTAGTAGACCCCGATAAAGACTCAATTGGTAAGCTTAAAACTTAGCAGACAAGCAATTTCTTGAAAATATAATCTCGTAATACTTTGAGATGATCACAGAGCTGATCACCGGTCTCATTCTCAACTTCTCGATCGTCGGCTTCTCCTCATTTTCCTCCTCAAATCTCGCCACTTTTCTCTTGAGCACTTTCTATTGGCAGCTGTGTTCGACTGTTTCTTGGTTGGTAAAATTTAGAAAACATTTATAGAATAAGAAATTAGAATGTTTGTTTTTTTGTTTGAATACAGTCGACTCTCTCTAATGTGGAACGCAAGGGACCAAAAATTTTGTCTATATTATAGAGTTTTCCACATTAGACATAGGGATTTTAGCGTAAAAGCCGTTCTAGGGACCTAAAACTGATTCCAGATTATAGAGTTTTTCACATTATAGAGTTCCAAAATAGAGTTGACGTGTATATAAATTTAGTCTCACCTATGCAATATTGCTTCGAGAACAAAAAGTGAAAATGGAAACGAAAACAACGAGCTCATCACAGCAAGTTCATCAAAAAAGACAACGACTAGGCAATAGAAATCGGGTTTTTCGAGTGGAAAATTAATAAATATTTGTATTCAAAGTTCGTTAAATAGAAAATTGTCGTTGAATGTGTCGTTGAAAGTTTTTATTATGAAACTCACAAAGTTGAAAATAACAAAGATCAGAGATCAGCCAAAAATCACCAATCTATGCAAACAAATAACGTTCTTGTGGCTTAGTTGATTTATTGTCTAAAGAAAATGAAAAAAAAACAAGTTACATCTACCGTTTTTGCTGTTCATTTCCCCTTTCTTAGTTTTTCATTTTTGAGAAGATTCTAAGAAAATGTTGCGAAAATGTTGAGAAAATGAAGAAGTTGTTGCTTCGACAGTGTCTCTGCTTCGACAGAGGAGAACACCTAATTTCTGTTCGCAATTTCCAATAAAACATCTCGGGAATTTGATAGAGAAGCCCGACCGGAAGTAGCAAAGTTCTTGGTCAACACACATAGTTTTTTCTTGACTTCTAAAGGTTTTATAAAAAGTCCTTTAGGTAATTCCCCCCAAAAACAATGCAATTTGTGGTGGTTTTAATTTGTCGTCGTTCGGCGATGTCCATCAATGGACGATTGATCAAGCAAAGAGAAAGCTTTTAGAGAAGATGTCGGAAAGTTTTTGCCTCTACTCGCTTCGCATTTCACTCGCTTTCTATTGTGCTTTCCCAACATTGTAAATTCTCATCAAGTTTTTTTCTGCAAACAAATTACCGTATATTTTGTAGCCAGTTGTGTTTTCTTTTCAGATCTACTCATCAACTCGTTGAATCATCTTTTTCAGGGATGAATTCAAGTAATTTTACACATGATTCTTGAGAAATTTAGACTAGTAACAACTTATTTATTGATCGATTGAAAAGAAAAACTTCAAATCAAGTGAAAAGAACTGTTGTGAATAGAAGTTGATTCGGTGATTTCCTTTGTTCAAGTTTTGAGAGTTATGAATTGACTCTGAGTACAAAATCATTCAAATATTTTGCAATATTTGAATAAATAGTTTTTGTTGGAATTACTATGTGATATTTATTGACGTTTCTTGACCAAAGGTCTTTTTTCATTGGCGATAGTAAGGTTGAGAAGCATTTACGATTCGTTTATCAGTGAACTGTGGGACTGATGGGGAAAAGAGAAGTGAAGTGGATTCGATTCAATAAGCTTTATTTCGAATAATGCAATCTACTTGTTTGTTTACTTGTTTATCATTCATCACCATTTACTTCTCAGCAACATATGCAAAATGTCCCGAGGGATCGCTTGAGTATTTGGAACGAGCCGAGTGCATTTATCCCGTTGATTCGAGTTTGTTTTTCAAATTTCACTAGCAGGATTCCATAAACAGACTCGATAAAATTCATTCTACAAACAGTTTCCTTTTACACTTTATATAAAAATGAGAAATTGCTCAAGAAACAACGTATCCGGAGGCGAAAAAGATTTGCCGAAATCTCGGCGGTCAAATCATCACGATTCGAGATATTTTCGAGAATGTCATGTCTGGATCTGAGGCACAAACAAGTTAGTTGTTACATTGATTCGCTATTTTTTTGAATGAAACCTCGCTTAGCACTCGGTGTCGATAGTCAATCGTACATTGGTGTGATCAGAGGATCAGACGGAACGTGGACAAACGATGATGGCACTTCGCTGAAGTATCAGAATTGGAAATCGGGTAAACGGGATCTAAATCTTCCTTTCCTTCATTCTTTTTTGAACGATTAAGGAGAATTGTGGTTAAACCTAATAAAACATTCCCAACTCGTTTTAGGAAATCCTCTCCAAAATGTGAGTTGTGCTGTGCAAAGTGCCCAAGACTACCAGTGGATATCGGTGAGCTGTGATACAAGTACAACATTTATCTGCTCAATACTAAACAACGGAACAATGGAAATTACCACAACGGCTTTTCATCCAGGTCAGTTGTCTGTGAAGGGAAGGAGAGAAGTCATTCTCGACCCTTCTGGAAACCATGTTAAATTTTAGTTTTCAGCTTGTCCAGCTGGTTGGGTACCGTTCAATGGGAAATGCTACTATTTCCAGGTAATTTTTGTACTTTTCTGTCATTGAACATAGGCTTAGGACCCGGTTCTCGAAGATCACTTTGTTTCCTTCACAATCTATGGAGCCGAGGATGCGTGTCAATCAATGGGTGCCACCGTTGTCTCAATTCACAGTCAGGAGGAGTTCGACTTTCTGAAAAGTGACTTTTCATTTTTCTGCATTCTTCTGCAACTTCAACGGTTTTATTTATGTCATTCAGGGGAAATCGCCACCGACCCCTCAATTCTCAAAGAGACCGACTGTCAACAGGATCAGGCGGTGATCGGGCTCATTTGTGCGGGTTTCTATCAGGCGTGGACCGACAATACACCCTTCGATTTTGACAAAACCAAGAATTGCACCGCCGGCACAAACACTTACGGGGTGAGTCTTTTTGATTGTAAACACAAAAAGTGTTTTTTATAGAAGATTATAGAAGATAGAAGATTTTGAGCAAAAAGATTTTTGTAAAGTTTAAAAATCTTTTCCAAATAACCGAAATCTAACTATTTAGATCATAAATGATCCCCGATGCTCACAAAATGACTATTGGAGCAACTGGGATGAGGACTTTTTCTATTATCGCTACATCTGTAAGAAGTGATCTTGACGACGGATTTGACCGAAAAGAAACGATATTTATACAGTATTCCACATTTTTCCCTCACTTTTCAATTAAAATGTTTATGTTTGGCAATGTTAAAAATATTTTCTTCCTACATGTTTGTTATTTCTTTTCTTATTTCAACGTGCAATCCACAGGTACAACAAAGAGGTGATTGGAGGAATTCCTTGGGTTTTGGGGGTTTTTTTGGAGCATAAACTGTGAATCGAATTCCAAAGCTTTTAAGAACATCAATGGGAAACTAAATGGGTTCTTATGGGTTCAAGAAGGAAAAATGGTTCAAGATCAACACAAATTAGAGATTTTGCTTGAAGATACAACAAATGGACCAAGCCAATCGCTTCCCCGACCCCGAAAACCCCTGGGTACAAACTTTTGGCTTCATATCTCATCTGAGCAATGTTTACGACGAACACATTTCTGGGCATTTCTGAAGAAAAGAGGTCCAAATGCTCGAAACTCTTTGCAAACAAGTTTGTCAATATGTGACTGTCATGTGAACCCACCAAATAGAGAGAAAATCTTCCGAAAAGAGTTTTTCTCGTCAAAAAATGTCGACGAAAAATAGAAATTTAGCGTTGTCGGCACGGTTTTTACCGCTAAACACTTCAAGTGAAACAGAATCAGTTCGACTTTTAGCGAGAAGATTCAAGAGAATCTCTTCGAAGCCGGGAGGAAAATTGGTAGACTCAAAGAGAAGTTTGTTGAATTTGAACGGCACATCGGCACCAACTGGTCTAGGGTCTAGGCAGTTCGCAGTCTTTCATCTGCCGCTGTGTGTACCGAATCTAAGTCACAGATTGAAAAAGTACGCTACAAGCCGCTATACGACCAAACGGCATCCAAATACTTTCTTGAGCATCCAAACGAAAACGGTGCTTGATGGGCAACAATGTTGGGTCTATATAAATTCGGAAAAATCATTTCAGAAATTTCTAATTGACTGAATCATGCAAATTTGCCACTAATTTCAAAGTATTCAGTCAAAAATTTCAGAAATTACTGTTTTCCGAATTTACATAGAGCCACAATGTTATGCTTGATCATTTCATGAATTTGGAAAGAAAGTGAAAAAAACGGATTAAGTCTCTCTTTTTGGGGGACTCTTTTTGTGCGTGTTCTGGCTCAATCAAACCGAAAACAACATTTCTTTGATATGACAAGGTTTAGGGGACTTTTTTGTATGTTTGCTAACAACTTTTCGCAAACTTTGATTGCAAGATAGTATTTTTTGATACAACAGACACCAAATAACTGTTCTTTTTGACGCTTGACGTGAAAAACCTAGAAAACTTCTAGGATCTTTGTATAAATATTTGATTAGTTTCTACTTTTTTTTCTTCTTAACATTCGGTAAATTTGGTTTCTTCCAAAAAAAACGACTCCAAAAGTCTCTCGACCGAATAAACCAATCAACGGCGGAGATTTTTCCGATCCTGACTCATTTGATCGGCTCACTTTTGTGCAAAAATTTTCCATTTCCCTCCCCCACCAAATAACTGATGGATCAAATAACAAAAATTTTATTGGCCGCTGGGGTGAGCTTGCTAATCATTTTACTGTTCATGAAGTGAACTTATTAAAAAACTTCAAACCTGCTAGAGCTACTTTCTAGTAGTAGAAATTTCTGAAAAAAAAGCTTTTTTGCTTGAGTTGTTCGCAAAACGATTCATTTTGTATTTGACCGTATAGAGCCAATTCATGCAGGTCGGTCTCTTCGGCACAACGACGGCCACCCTGGCCATTTATGTGATTTTCCATTGCCGTCACCTGTCCGGCCCGTTCCGTCACATTCTCCTCTTCGACATCGTCAATTGGGGATCGGTGAATTTGGTGTCGATTCTGTGGACACCGTTGGTCATCTTTGGGTGGGGAGGTTCATTTTGCAGAGGATAGTTTGCCGAGTTACCGAAAAGTTGCTGTTTGAAGGTTTATACCATGGCTATGCTCGTGTGTGGCTAAGCAAAAAACATATACGTTCCTTCCATTGTTCCCTCGCTCATTCAGGGCTAAAAATTGGGATTTCTTAGGAAGGTTTTAGACGAGTTCTAAGAAATCGCACTTTGAGGTGGCTGACATGCACTCGCTGACTTTGAGATGCACTTTTTTGGCTTGAGATTTAAAATTTATGATTGAGGGCGAATTGACGACTTATCAATTTGTCATTGCTCAAACACTACTCTGTAAACCTTTGTACAATCTTCAAATTCTCAGTGACATCACAAATGCGTTCGTCGTCGAGTTGGACTACATCTCGACGGGACTCGTCTACTCTTTTTGCACGGTGGCCTTCGTTGTGCGCGTGCTTTTGTCGGTGAATCGACTGCTCGCCTCATTGGGAAACACAAAGGTCTCCTGTCTATTTTTTTAAAATTTAATCCACTTTTTTCAGCTTTTGAACCAGTTTTGCGCCTCGCTGAACGCCTGCATGCTCGGTGCCTACATTCTGTTGATGGCTTTTTGGGGAGTCCAATTGATTCGTGGGTTTTCGCCTTTCAATCATTGAAAACCTTTCTGGTGAAAAGATCGGCTAATGAAATTTTGTCGAACGAAAGCTTATTTCCCTTTTTGCCAAACCCCTAAAAAAATGCGGCAAACAGAGATCAAAATTACAAAAAATAACAACCCAGCCTCACATGGCTATCATCGAAAGCCAGTAGACCTAAATTCCAGCCGGCTGTCGGGGCACGTTCATCACCTCAGCGTTGATCTATTCGAACGAGCCGGGCGACTGTGCGACAACTCTGCTGTTCATCACACAAGTGAGCCAAGTTCACTGTGAACAATTCGATTTGAGAACTAGTCTTCTGAGGTGTTTAGATTTATGCAGAAAGAAAATGAAAATTTTGTTCCGGTCCTAGAAACCTTGGGAGCAAGACAAATTTTAGACATAAATCAACCGTTACAAATTTTTGACTTTGCTAAAAGACAGTGACACCTCGTTTCTTTCATTCAGTCCACCATTCTCCCGTCAATAATCAGCATCGAGAATTTGCTCCTCCAATTCATTGCCTATTATTTCCTGACGAAGAGAATAAAGGTTTGAATGTGGTTGAAAAAGAAGAAAACTCATAAACTATTCCCTTTAAGCAATCACAAAATCTTTCCATTGTGGACAGAGAGTCGGTGGCGAAGAGTCAGAAAGCCGAGATGAGGTTCTTATTTCAGGTCATTTTGAAGCCATTTTTGAAGACTCTTTCCAAAGAGCAGCTCTTCCTAGTTGGAGGCTTTTTATTGAGATAGTAAATGGATGAAAGCGGGAGGCTTTTTTCTACTTTTTCTACTTAAAACTACTTTTTCAACACTGTCAAATGTTCAGATAATCCTCCAGGACGGAGCCCTTCTGTTGTTCACGGCGTATTTCGTCATCGTCGCGGCCGCAAATCCGTCGCCTACACTGGCATTTATGACGTTCACGATTGGATGGCAAATGTTTGCTGGTGGATACAAGTTCCTTTTGCATTCACTTTTTAATCTCATAAAGTTTTCCAGTTTTCTCTACTTTGCTTTCAACTACCAATTCATGGAGAAGACGAAAAGCTCAAGTCAAGCATTCGTCACTTTGGTCACCGCCGTAGCTTGAATGCTTGTGAAATTGAATCATCCGAGAATTTCGAGTTAATAAAGTTTAGATTTACTTTGGCTTCGCACTTTTAAGTTTGCTTTTAAAAACTTTAACACGTTCCGGAATCTCTGACTACAAGGGTTCTTATCAGAAAATCGATCCATCCCATTTCTTCCGAGTCTTTTTTCATTCACGAAGAAATTCACGAGAATTTCAGGTTTGGAGTTTCAGCTTTTGGCCAGAAGCAATTCCAACGATGCCACCTATTCTAATATTTATAATTGGTCACAAAAGTGATTTCTGGTGTCTTCAGATTTTTCACAAAAATGTGCCCTCATTTGATCGCTCTGTAATGCACTTGATGTGGAGAGAGGCAAATGTTTTACTAGCGGCACAATTTCAGAGCAGATGTCTGCAGAACTGTTGCAAACACCGAACTGTTGCGTGCCACACGCAACAGTTCGGTGTTCGGTCAACGTAAATTTCACCCATTTTTCACTGTTTGACGACCGCTGTTTGTGTTGAGAGCAGCTCGTTCGAAGATGAGCTCAAAAGTCCCTTCTCAATGTCAAATAAGTCTTGTAACAGACAGTTTTTTTTAGTTTTTTCAGCTATGTGACTCAAAAAACGAGTACTCAATCCCGCACAACCAGTTCGAGTTTTCGACCGAATAAATGCACGAGCAAACGATTGCAAAATACAAAAAAACAACGTACACTAAAATGCATTCTTATCTATGGCCTTAAAGCACACACACTTACCCAAAAGCACAGCCTCACACACACCCAGAAGTCTATCCCTTGCCAGGTCAATGACTCAAACGACGAAAACGAGTGCTTTCCGAAATGAAATGGAAAATATCCTTTTTCTTCGAACACTGTTTACATTTTTTTTTCAATTACAGTCGACGCTCGATAGTAAAACATTTTTTGGAGAATCCCTTCAATGTTTTACTATCGAGCGTCGACTGTATGCTTCCGTTCAGATTCGGCTCTCAAAATTGCATTCAGCATCTCATCAAACATGCTCGTTTGAAACGACACACATGTTCAGGTTCAGAACTTCCGAGGGGAATCCAAACAAACAACAGATAGACAAAAATGAACGAACTTCATGATTTTTTTTTCCTAATTTCCGGTCTAAATCATAAGTGACTATGCTTATTCGCTTTGACTTTCCAGCTTGCGGCTTCTCGTCTCGGTACGTCGACTCTGTGCAAAGAAACTGCCAGCGGATGCGCAAAAAAGCAAATATTGAGGATTATTTGTGGGGACTTTTGAAGAGATTTGTCAATGAATAAACTTGTTTTTCCGAACAAAAGAGCTGTTTGATTGATCGATTTGGCGCGAATCGCCTTCCCGGTGGAACAGCCAAAGTGATCGCCTGTTTGCCCTTCAAAGCATTAAACGAGATCATCGAAAATGAGGTAGGGTTTGTTGGTGATTGATTGATTGTCGAATGAAACTAACAAGGAACTAAAGTTATCTGCACTTAGGAATTAGCCGAAGCGTTGCAACTGGACAAAGAGCAAACCGAATTGAAAAAGAAGGTGCGAAACGGAAGCTGGCAAAAGGTGGGTCCAAAATTGTAAATTCCTTCGGATCTTTGAGACATTTGTCGGTTTAGACTTTTGAGAAGAATCGACTCTCAAAGAATCTGCAGCGTTCCTCGTGTAAGGTGAGTATCGAATATGTTAAGAATTCAGTCAAGAATATGTACGTGATTCTCGGTCGACCAGGAATATCTGATGCTGTTGTTTGTTTTGTTAAAAAAATGGCAATTGTCTCTGTTTCAAAAACTCATTTTCCTTATTGCAAAATGACCAGTTGCAAAAGGCATAGCTTCTATTCAATCGCTTTTCTACATATTTCAAAGTTTTGCATTCTTTATGTGTTTCCTCCATCTGGTACGCTCTAGCAGACAAGCAGCAATCTTGCCATACCGCTTTTTGCTGCATTTCCAACAAGTTAAAGTAAAAGTAGTAAAGTGAAAGTTTAGTATAAAAAGAACTTTGTTTTCTAAAACCCTGGTTACTTGTGCCTTATAGAAAAATTTGAATCCACAAAACGGAATCTATAAAACGTACCTTTATGCTACTCATTTTTGCAAAACTATTTTTTGTGTTCTCTGAAAGTAAACAATCCTTGTACCCAAAACCCAGCAAAATTTGTTGATGTGGAAAGAGATTTGAGAAATTCGAAAATATTACTCCCATCTTTGAGGTCCAATACCCAATATGTTCTCGAGAAAAAACTAATATATGTAAAGGGTTCGAGAAACTGATTGCAAGATCCCTAGGTCATTCAAGGAAAAGAAGTCCTGGGCGTGAAAATTTCAACAGAGAAAAGAATAATATGGGGAACAGGAGAGGAGAAGGGAGAAGAGTAAAAGGGAGAAGGGCTCATTAAAAAAAGCGGCTAGCGGGAATAATTCATTGGGTGAATCGCGTGAATTCCACGGATCTCTGAAGGCAGGGAGAAACCCCATAAGGAACAGGAGCAGCCGGCCGTGAGCAATGCCTTCGTAAAATCTCTCCCATCGACCTCCATCGTCTCTTCAGACATTGCTTCAAATTGATCCTTTTTTAATTCAAGTATATCTTTCTTTTCTTCCTATCTCTTCTTTATTGTTGGCAAAGAATGTTTCCTGTAGCTCAAGAGATAGAGTAACTGGTTAAGTGAAAGGTCGAGTGAGAGCGATATTCTTGCCACAACTCTTTTATCACCCGACCATTTCTCATCTGAATTTTTCAATAAATGCATATTCGAATTTTCTTCGGTGTATATATGATTTGTTGGAGTTTTTTGGCCATTTGCTCGTCATCAATTCTCTAATTTGAAATTTGATCCTCAAAATAGGTAGTGTAGTTAGCGTAAGGGAGGATCAAATGTGTTTTGCGTGGAAAAATCTAATCAAGGCGAGTCTAGGATTTCTGCTCGATTCCGAAACACTTTCAAGATACACAAGTGATCAAGATAACGAAGGAAATGTGGATAGAATGTTTAGTCCAACCAACCTAGTATTTTCTCTATGAAATCGAATTATAGATGACCTAATTAAACTAACAACAAACCGACAAATCATGTTTTACATTCTTTTTCTTTATTTTACATCTTTTCCTTAAAAAGCCGAGATGAGGTTCTTATTTCAGGTCATTTTGAAGCGATTTTTGAAGACTCTTTCCAAAGAGCAGCTCTTCCTAGTTGGAGGCTTTTCCTTAATGATTCCAATTGAAGGAAAACCCTGCTGGTGGATTGTGTGGCAGCCACTAATTATACCAACTGGCTGTGGTCGTCTGTGTCGGCTGGACGGCTGTGATCAAATTTCACAAATTACAATTAGAATCGTCGCGGCTATTTTCGTCTAAGCTCCTTCCCTCCGAAAAAAACGTTTTTTTCTTCTTGGAATTGCAAAGATGTTTCCATTTTTAACCTTTCCAATATCTACTTCTATCTGAATGAATAATGTTTTCTTATTTGTTAGAAAACTTTTCTGTAAACAAGCTTTTGAACTTATTGTTAGGAAATTGAAGTTTTACTTTCCCAAAGTCTCTCTTTATTCGCCTTTCAGGATTCATTTCTCATTTCTATGAAGTGCGCAGCACTTCCGGGCATCAAGTACCACTTGCCAGTGCACTTTCGGTTCCTAGTCACATTTTTCTTCCAAGAATACGTGATTCTCCCACAAAACATTCAATTTTTTAAGTCTTCAAGCGAAGTTATCTACTTACTTTCTTTTGCTACTTTCATTACTTTCTTTTTATTAGGTTGATGCAAAAGTCTTTTTCGTTTTTTTCGTCTGCCGTTTCAAGCCAACAAATGCACCAATTAAACTACGGTTGATTTCATTAGAAAAACCAATTATTTTTCTGCAAAATAACATTAAAACGGGTTTAAAAATATTTAATGCCTGGATTTTCTTGAGAGTATGAAGTCGGGTAGTCAAAAAGGGCTAACTCGATGATCCGTTTAGACACCTTAGCTAAAGAAAACCTATCTTCGTGTCAATAGATAAAAGATAGAGAAAAAAAACGTTTGATATTTCGCCAAAATTTCAGAGAAACTCATTCAGCCAATTTTTCCGTAGAGTTTTTATAGATTTTTACGAAAAAGGCGTTTTTCACTCTCGAATTTGCTTGAAAGTCAACCGAAATTCATTTTAAAAGATGCAAATTGAACAAAAAAACACTTTTTTTATAGAGCAAACTATAGATTAATTGGTGAATTTGTTACTTTTTAACAGAAGTACGAAAAAAATGAAAAAGACTTTTGCATCAACCTAATACTTTCAAAAAAGACTTTCACTTTTTAAAAAAACTATTTAGCCAGGTTCATTTAGCCAAGTCTAAATTTTCTTTAGAAAAGTATACCGAAAACGCTCAATTTTTAAAATTCTTGTCTATCTAAATGTTTTCGTAAAATTTGGTGTTCATCTTTGAAAAGGTCTAGTATGTGTCCATGTTTTTTTTCTAATCCAAGCGAAAGGGGCTTCCGGTCTACGAATGATCACATTTCAATTTAAGTGGTCGATCCCATGAATTCATGTATGAGCATCAGAATTGCTTTACGCTTATGAATATAAAGATTATATAATATATTTATTTCCTATCAGATTACCTTATAAATTATCAACTTCTTTTTCACGAATCAGTCCCGTCACAAATTAATATAATATTTTTAGACATTTTTTGAGTTTTTCTTTTTGAAAAACGCTGATATTGAATATTTAAATTTTCCTCGTACTTTCTGAAGCTTATTCTTCCATTTTGTTCCCAAAAGCAATCCAAAGCGAAATGATGGTCTTTCCCCTCGATAAACTCGATTCGAGAAAATCCTCTACATCATCTTTCTCTAATCGAATCTTTTTTATTCCATCTTTATACACTGACCATTGTTCATTTTGGATTACGGTAAGATCATTGTCAGATGGTTTAAAGCACCGTAGTATTACTCCAATAAAAAACCAATTTTAAACTTCTTTAAAAGAAGAAATTCTCTTCTTTTGTCTAATTAGCAGCTAATTTTAAGCAAAATTTTCGTATTTTAAAATCATTGTACTTCTGGAAATGTTACAAATTGACGGGTTTTCACCAGGAGCTTCGGTCGAACTAAACTGTGTTTTCTTGAATGAAATAAAGAGCCTTTTTGTCCATTCTTTAGGATTTGCTCTTTGAGAGTTCCGGGGCTGATGTGAACCAACTATTTTATGCTGTTTAGAAATCATAGATGCCTTTTGTACTTTGGATAGTCAGTCATCTCTTCTTTTCAGCCATTTTTAGCTTTCCCGATCGATTCTTACGTCTATGCCTATTCTTGAGGAATTTCCCATTCCCCATTCAGGAGATATTTCTCAGTCTCCTGTTTTTGTGTTCATAAAAAGTGCCATTGAGGAAAAACTCACGTGAAAGCCCATTTCTTTTCCTTCCTTTCTAAATTTATAAATCTAAATCAATAATCCAAAACCGCTTGGTCTAATTAATTTCCATAAATGCAATGTATGATGATAAAAAAGACTTGAGGAAGACAGATGTTTCTAGTGGAAAGGGAGTTAATTGGGATTCGTGTTTTATAAAATGGTATTTAAATTGCATATCTGAATTTAGGTTCGGAAAGAAACCGGAAAATGTTCTGTCCGACCGATGACCAATTGGATGCCATTTCATCGCTCTATAAAGCATTCTTTGGATTGGCTACCGTAGCCTTCATTCCCACGCTTCTCATCATGGTTTCTGTGAACTCGCCGGCTACGAAATTCTATCGGAATCTTCAAATAGCAAATTTGGTAGATTCAGAAATGATAAAACATCATGGATAACGATAAATATGCAAAATCTTACATTTGTTTGTGAACGGACTTTTTAAAAACCGATTCCAATTCCGTCAATTAATGTCCAGCAATGTCTACATTAGTTAAACGGTCTATTCCCTTGTTAAGTTGTCATTTTTGAATATCTATACTAAAGGTTAGATATGATCGTAAGCAAAATAATTTTCCTTCTCTTTTCAGATCGTCTCCCAATGCCTCAACACGAGTATGGTCTTCCTAGAGCAAATTCTCATGCTCCCATATGGTGGCGCGATCTACGGACAGAACTTTGGCTCTCCACAGTTTCAGGGTCGATTCGTGGTAAGCTTTAATGAAAAAACTATAATGTAACTCTAGCAAATAATTCACTTTAGGCTACATATTATGTGCTCGGGTTTGGTGTTGGTGCTAGCCTGCTCTCATCAGTGCTATACAAGCTGCACGCTGTCGGGTGAGTTCATTGTATAAAGTATAATGTGTTTAAATGCAAATTTTTACTTATTAAGGTTCGTTTATTGTTATTTGCAACTTTTCCCAGCTTCGTAAACTGTAAATACGAGCGAGTTCTTGCTGTTTCCAATTCCTAAGACGGATAATGCGTAGTTTTTAGTATGAAAAAATAGTATTTTTCTCCTCCTTTTCTTTTTTACACCTTAATTACAGGTTCACGAAGCGGCATCACAAATTTTTCGTGTTTCTCTGTGTCTCGGGAATGTTTTGTGGTCTGTCACTGGTCGTTTTCATCATAATAGCGACGAGCGAGGTGCAAATTACGGACACCACCCAGTACGCGTTGCTCAAGGAGCCAAATGGTGAGGGAAAATTTTAAAGAAAGTTAATTGTAAGCATATAGCACCAGTTATCGGCTAGACCTGTTCCATCAGTTCGGCCGGATCGATTTCGATTGAACGATCGACAGATGAGTAGGCAAACGGCTACAAAACCGAACCGGCCGACTGAAAAGTGGACGAACGGTCAAACCGATGAACACGTCTATTATCAACCTGTTATAGTTGAAAACGCGGCTTGCCTACTCTTCCCGAGAACGGTGATCATCTATCCACGGGTCGAGGATCCCCGTTTAGCTTATCCGGGCAGTATAGCGGTTTGTTATATTACTAGCAATTTACCCATAATTTACCCATAATACATATCCCAAAACCCCAAATTTCCAGTTTGCCATGTTTACTTTATGGGTGTTCTTTGTGATGTGGCTGGTGCTACACGAATCAAATCGTGCCAAGAAGACGACGGCCAGTCAGAAAACACGAGATATGCTCTGCTATATGGAGATTGTCTTCTATTTACAGGTAGAACTAGTGAAAAATAAGAAAAAACAATTATGTCATTTAAATTTGTAAAAACGTACATTTTTCAGTTTGCCGAAATGGTGCTCACTACTGCGATTCCGGCCGGTCTCGCCATGTTGAGTCTGTCGAAAGTTTGGCCCACCGAAAATCTTGGTAAACAAGCAAAAAAAGAATTGTTTGCATTTGTTTTTTATTTGAATAGTTATAATATCTTTATGAATTAACATTTATACAAGCATAACTTATTTCTTTTCAGTTATCGCCTCATTCACCATAATGCTCAGCCTTCACTCGCCGCTCAATTGCTTGATAATCATCTTTGCCACGAGAACATATCGAAATCGAATCCTCAACTGGATTTTCCCTCCACAAAATGGTAAATGAAACAAGAAAAAGATTAGAGAAAGATTTAAGCTTTAAGAAAAATCGTCCAGGCCATCGACGATGATTCAATTGTTAACAACGAATGCGGAAAAGACAATGGCTAAACTGTAAACGGAGAATAGGGAGAAACTTAAAAAAATGGGTTCTTGAATATAATAAAACATTTTTATTGATGTGTACTTACGATTAGTAAAGCAACATATTATTTAAACATTCAGGATGCACTTTGCAAGAATTTCAGAAATATAATAGTATCTAACATATCCAACTTTATGATTACACTACATCTATCATCCGAACGCCCATAGACAACAAGGCAATTCATTTTTTTTTCCACGATTCGTTGTCTTACAAACGCAACGCATATGGCTGATACCCGAGCCAACGAAACAGAAGAGATGACTATGATCGGCAGATTTCAGATGCAAAGCACAAGGCGCAGGTGCGAGCAATTGAAACGATTGAAGAATCTACGAATCGCCGACTTCAAACTTTATGAGTTCTAAGATTCAAAATTCAAGGTTGCTAGAAAAAACCCTCTATTGTTCCAAACAAAATAATTCACATACATGTATATGTTGAAGCTAATGAGTAAATAACATAGGTATTTTGTGCTAACTCCTTGTTAGAGTCCATATATTCTTTTGTTCACCAATCGTTTGAAATGATTATTGGCTAGGATTAAAATCGTTGGTTTTGTTAAACACATTTAACTTTTTATTATTATTCATTTGTACAACAATTCCCTTTTACCCTACACCAATATGGACAATTCCCAGAATCACAATTGTTGATACAACTCAATGGACAACAGTTGGAATCTGGAGTAGCATGACTTTTCGGATGATCAGTAGATTTCGTTTGATAATGAGAAGTTCGATGATTTATTTGCAGTCTCCTAAAGGCAATCTAGGTATCAAAAACTACTCTTTGTACTTACACAGAGTAAATAATTAGAAATATGATGAATATGATGGCCCCAATACAAAAAGCAGTTAACACCAATAGAGTGATCGAGGATTTTCGCGATTGGGATGTCATTTCAGTTCATCTGTAACGAATCGCCTTTCTAATACAAGTAAACACCAACAAATATTTAAAAAGCAGCCGAAAGTAAATTGTTAAAGAAATAACTTTTCAATTCAATTGGCTAACTAATATAAAAAGGTATTAATGTTAAATCATGCGATCAGTTATCTTTAAAAAAGATATCGGGGAAACAAATTGGGATTGGAATGAGAAATCCGCTTTCTGAGACTGTGACTAATTGTGAAATGACTGTTGTTGTGTAGCATTTCCCTCTTTCAAGTTATTTGGCAAACTAGTTTTCAATTCTTAAAGAGAACTCTTTAAAAGATTTGATTGTTGATCGTTTTTCAAAAGTCAATTTTGGTTCAAAAATTGATTGTTTTCTAAGATTGAAAAAACTTTTATTCAAGAAAATCAAAATCTTTCCTAAAATTGACTATCAGGCAATAGGTAATCAATCGATAGGAGACAATTTTAGAAAACATTTTCATTTTCTTGAATAAAAGTTTTTTCAATCTTAGGAAACAATCAAATTTTGATCCAAAATTGACTTTTGAAAAACTGGTAAGATGAATCAATCGTGGAATAAACACAATGTTTATATCAATATACGCTTTCCCGTTCATCACTTTTTCATCAACAGCAAAGAATCTGATTGTCTCTTTTCCATGCCTTATTTGAAGAAAATATTTCGTTACAAGTCCTTCTGTGTCCTTTTCATTAATCCATTTGCCTGTTCAAGAAAAAGCCATTTCAGCATTATGTTTGTAAGTGCTGTGATAACGGAGCTGATAAATTTTGTTCACTGCTTCTTGAAGTCTCTAGGAAATCTGCTTATAAACCCGGGTATGATTTTTGAAATCCCATACAAAATTTTGCATGCTTATAACTTTTGATAGAGTGCCATTTTTACAAAAACGGAAAGCGGAAAAAACGGAAAAATACCGAAACGGAAAAACGGAAAAAACGAAAGCCGATCCGGATTCAGCGTGAAATTCTGCGTGGAATGGTTTATGGCTCATGTCATTTGGCCAGCCTATCCAGTTGACCTTTCCTTGTAAGTAAAATGCTCGTGTTTGTGCTGTCAAGACAAAAAACGTTTTAGGTTTTTGGTGTTAGATCACCACCGACGCCTCATCTCAAGCTCCACAAGCGTTCCTTGTCCAACTTTTGCTTATTTATTGGACGAATCTTTCTAAATACGATTGAAACAACCATTAGTAAAGCTCAAAATTCTCTATAGTATTATTAAAGAAAATCAATTGGCCGACAAAATGCGAGCATTGTGCAAACCGGAAGTCTTTTCTTTGGACTCTTTCATCGTTTCTTTCTTTTCTTTCTTTTCTTCGAACCTTTTCCCTATTCATTCGTGTGCACCTTAATGTAAAGGGTTTTCTTGAAAAATCTCCAAGATTATTCTATAAACACATTAGATTTAATTGTCATATTTAATTGTTAGCTGAAGATGCGATTCTTGTTGCTGAGGCTTTAATGGCTTTGAACAGGTAAAGCTTATATTAGAATATTTTTTCAACAAAAAATCTCTTTTTAATAGAGAAACAATTGATTAGCAGGAAATAATTTCTTACCGATTCCTTAAAATTCCACAAACTTCATTTTAAATGTTAAATGAATTGGTGAATATCTTCAGCTATTTACAATTTGATTTTTACTATTAGACTTTACCTACTGGTTAGACCTACTGGTTAGACTTTACCTGCTGATAAAGCCAGCCAAAATACCAAGTATCATAAGGCCTATTTTGTTATAAGTTTTTACGGTTTTTTTAGTAAAAGCAAAAAAGTTTTCTCAAATATCGATGACAAATTGTCCCCCGATGACTCAAGATAAAAAGGAATTGAAGAAAAATGGATGTCTAGTTTAGAAAAAAGGCTTTTCGCGTGAAACCCAAGAAGAAAAGAGATTGAAAAGTTCCGGATGAAAAAAAGAGAAGGAAAGGGGCAACGAACAGCCAGCACGACATATGTATCTCAATTTTGGAGTCACCCCAAAAAATGCGTTCTTGCTTACAACTGAATTTCAGTTGCTATTTACTTTACTTGCAATTCGATTTGCAAATCTTGAAACTTCTCTAAAATACGCTAATTAAAAATGAGACGTTTGCATCGATTTCTCGACGAGCATCTCGAGGATCAAAAAAGAACAAAAAGGAGACGCATGAGCTGTTTGGTAAGAGTATTTACTTGCGTTGAGCTTTTGGTTGGGGATCTCTGAAGAAAAATTTAATGATACAGACTCATTGTGTGCTATAAATAATGGACATTAAACAATCTTTTTAAAGACTTTCTTCTGTGCATTATCTCGCCTTAAACTAACAAACTTAAACAAACTATTTTCCAGTAAACCCTAACCATAAACGCTATCGCTTTGATCACAGAACATTGCATTGCTTATTGTCAGAATAAAACCCACATGGCTGCTTGTCTATGCTTTCCTTTAAAAGTTTAAATTTCCCTATTTATTAAACCAGGGCTGTTCAGTCATATTTTATTCTTCTGCCTATACCTAGCTTCTTAAGTTTTAGAAAATCGAGTGCTAGAAACCTTTCACTTTATTCTTTGAACTATGTTAAATGTGAAAATTAAACTTTTCAAACCTGAAACCAGATTAAAAATAGTCAAAATTTATGGACATTGATGTTCATACACCATTTGGTGTTCTACACCATTTTGTATGATTATTGTCGAACCACTGAGTGTATCACCATTTCGTGGTCATTGAAATAGCCCCTCTTACGAAAAAAGGCTCAAAGATGGGGATTTAGTTGGGGCATTTCCAAAAGGAGAGTGGTTCGATATGGAAGGGAAATCCCTCGGGATCCCATTTGTGGTTGACATTTGTCCCCATACACACTAACTTTTTTGTTCTCTCTTCTGCACACAAATCCATACTGTGTTTGGGCAATTAAATTGACTAAATTATGTTTAGTTTGTTAAATTATTTGACGATGCTTGTAGATATAATATCCTGGTTATTGTTTAAGCCTTTGTAAACTCGCATTTGCCCAGTGAAATTGGTAGAGCCCTCTGGACTTTGTCAATTCAGTAATAAGTAGAAAATAGGTCTCAATTTTCAATGTATTAAAACATTGAGTTATGCAATAAAAACCTTTTTTATTGAGATTTGAGCTCTTCAGAGTCTTTCTCGAAATTCCCCAATGGGCCAAGATCTTGAACGTAGATAGGAACTCCAAGAAAGGCTCAGAACTAAACTTTGGCTCTAAGAAAGTCCTTGAAAGACTCATTCTTCTTTTACATACATTTTTTTTTTTTACTTCTTTTACATAAAAACAGTAGAGATGACTCAACAACAACGCCTTCGTCGCCTCGCTCATCGACTCGGTCGAGCGAGAATTTGGATGTGGAGAGAGGTAGAAATGAGCAAAAGATTTCGAGCAAAACAAGCAATTTGTCGGTTTCAAACTTTGCCATAAGCCATGACGCTCAAATACTTTCGTTTTCCCAAGTGATATCGTTGGCCTAATCTTGTCAACTCTTGCCTCTCGTCTCGTCTTCCAAATCCAACACAAAACCCTCAATCTATCTACGAAGGATTGTTGTCTGTCCTCACCATATCAAAACTTAGCATAATATAAATATTTCTATTTTATTGTATTGCTACAAAATGTTATATTCTGTCCATTTTGAAAAGGAGAAACCTCCACCATATTTTCGACGTTACGAGTACCATCGAGTACCTGTTAGAAGGGTTTGTATTGCAGAAAAGTGGCTGCAAAAATATCAAAAAATATGCTAAACACAAAACAATAAGCATAAATATTCTAAAAAAGCATAAAATATTGATTTTAGCCTGCAAGACGGAGCGTAAGTGCAGGAGCCGAGAAGAGATCCTCTCTGCATCCACCAAAACCACAAGAAATCCCATTTATGGCCGAAGAGGAAATTAACGACGTTTGTGAATGTTTAGCATAAAAACTAGAAAACTATTACCAACTTGCTATAAATTTTCTTTTGATTTAGAACTCAATGAAAGGAGCTCGTCCTGGTTTTGAGTCGACTCCATTGAGAACCTCGTCGAGAAGAAGTGTTCGCAGTCAAATGGCTGCTGAAGTTGCACTTAGGTAACAAATAATTCTATTATTAAAAAAGGAATGCCGTTATATAGTAAAATTTAGCGCACCTCATATAGAAATATTAGATGAAGGAGATCATTACAGGTATCAATCCTAGACACTTGTTTGTGTTCTTATTTCATTTCACTATAACGAAAAGTGTACCCGTTTTAACCTCAATGTACTAATACTTGTGTGTTTAGCGGTAACTTCTGAAAATCATTTTGTGAATGACTATCGATGGTTTAGATACGACTCGGTGCACTCAGTGCTTGTCGATTTTTGCAACCGGACAAGCAGTCATGGTATTCCATTTTTTGGGTAAGATTTTATAAAGATTTTTTATCAAATTTAAAGTTTTAAACTTCCACTTCCTTGCCTTCTTTTAAGCAGACCAAAAACTAAAGTATCTATAGTAATAATTGGCAATAAGCCTGCGTCTGTCACCGTTTTCCCGAGAGGGAAGAACTCACCATCTCGCAGGCAACAAAAAGAGAGAATGAAAAATTTTCGCTTTTCTTTGCCATAACCTTTGGTTTAAATAGAAATTTTGTCAAAATGCAAAATGCAATTTTTTAGGAGTTGGCTGGTTTGGATATCGTTTTGAGTGGGTTTAGCGTTCTCACTAAAACTTTTGTGAGGGTTTTGGAAAAGAAGGACACACCCAAGGTTTTTACAAGGGTTAGATTAGGTTAGATTTACCAGAATACACAACCGCGGTATTAGAGTCCGTAGTTATGCAAGAGCCGCTATTACTTTAAGTTAGGGTTAGTGTTCTGTTTTAACTCTGTGCTATTGAGAGACAGATCCGTTATAACTTTCGTTATATCCTGTGAAACTTTTAGATCAAGCAGCTTCTGGCCACGTCCCATTTGGGTGTCAATTTTCATTTTCTGTACGATTTTTTTTCTCATTCAAACGTACTTCACTATCGATGAATTCTATGGTTATCGAACAATTTTTCAATTGAATCTCAAATTTGAACCAGGTGATGCTTTAAATAATAGCATACCAAGTAGAGAAGTATTTCTACTGCTAATGACAATACTCAATTCTATAATTTCAACTTTCTTTTCTCGCTAGATGCCAGAAGCATGCTTTTGTGTTAAAATAGCCACAATAAGCATTTCAATCGAATTATTAACAAGAGATTTTTTGTTTACAAGAACAATTAGTAAAAGACTTCTTGTACTTGCCTTCGGTTTCAATGTTTTTGTTTGTCAGCTGCTCTTCGTTCCAGCTCTGGAACGAAGAAAGCTCTGGAACGTTCCAGCTCATGTTTTTATTTTTAGCTCCATTTCCGGCAGCCACGGTTTGCAATCTGAACCCGTACAAATTCAGTGAACTGAAGAAATTTCCTGAGATTGCGAATGCTGTTTGTTTTCCTTTCTGTCAAAAGTATTGTACTTGATAATTCAGATTGCAAAATGGGAAAATGCATTGACAGAAAAACCTGATCTTTCTTTGAGAATTCTTGAAGCGACGGGGAAACGAAAGAAACGTCAAGCAGAATTTCAGCCAATATTTGTCAGGTTCAAAAAAAATTTGATAGGTAATCTCAGGATTTAGATGTACCTGCAATAATCCCAACGATCGTTGTGTACCGAATCGAAATGAAGAGGCAAAATACATGTTTTTTTATAGTTAAACACAAACTATTCAGGCAAATACCCAAGTTTGTTTATGTTTTGAAGATGTTTCAACTGGATACATTTGGCCTTGTTATCCGACAACAGAATGGACCGTAAAAGTCAGTTTTTACTAGGCAAACAAACGATGAGTGATCAATTGTACAGTTTTAGACTTGTAATCAATGTTCTTTCTCGAATACATGTGCAGATCCGGATCGACCTAACGCAACTATGCCATTTAATCAAAATGTTTCTTGTCTTTGTCAGGGAATTTCACATAATTGTGTCATTCATCCAAAGGTAAAGAGTGCTGTAAAAGTACTTCGAAAGCTCTCTAGTACGCCATCTTTATAGCTAAAAAAAGTATTTTAGAATGAAATTCGCTGGTGGAATCCAAATAATTACACGATTTATCCAGCTGAACCGCCTTCAGCTGAGACGCCTTTCAGCGAGAATTTGGATCTTGAGGTATTTTTATGCATAGAAAACCGTATAAAAACTATTTGTATGCATAGAAAACCATAATACCATAATGTACCAAACTATAATACCAAACTATAATGCCACCAGAAACCCGTTAAAATGAAAATAAGCTAATTTTTAGGGTGTTTTCGACAAAGGTACAATGACAACAAGAATCAAAGAGTCTGTCAGTTATATGGTCTCTGAATTACCACAAGAAATCAAACACAATCTCTCGTACACACTTGGAGTGAGAAAATCGATCAAGAGATCCCCTTTATTGAAATTTAGGAATTTGTCTTGAGATGCACTTTTGATGGTAAGGATTGCAATATGACAGAGTGAGTCTTTAGCTTTAAAAAGAAACCTTAATATGAAATATTATTATATTACAAAGAAAGAAATGGTTCCATAGTCCATTTTTTAGACTGTTTCAAGTACATCGTGACGCCGATTACGGAAATTGTTATACGTTTAATTTCAATACTTCTCTGGAAGTCAAGGTTTTCTTTTACCAAAAGAATACAATGATTATTGTAGTTCTAGAAAAAGAAAAAGATTTAAATGTTTTAGTCAAATCGAGCTGGGCCTCTTTATGGATTGAGACTTTTGTTGAATGTAAATCAAGAAGATTATCTCCCAATTACGGAAGCTGCTGGAGTTCGACTTGTTGTACATGAACGGGTAAAAAGCATTTTGATGAGTCTTTTTTAACAGAATCTCAGCTCACAAAGGATGCTATATCCTTTGTGATATCCAAAGGATGCTATATCCAAGGAACCAATTCACTTTACATTTAGAAAAACTAACTAAGAAAATTTTGCATATTAATTACAGGACTTTTAGGATCAAGAGCCATTTCCTGACACATTTGGATACAGTGCGCCAACTGGTTTCGTTTCTTCGTTTGGGCTGAAAACGGTTTGTTTTATTAAATAAAATCGTAGATATTGTATTCCTTTTCTATTTCTTTCTTATATATTTCTTTAGAAGCTTTATACTCGTTTACCACATCCGCATGGACAATGTTCGGACAAAGAACGGCCAAAACCATATATTTATGGAGATCATTATTCTCCTGAGGTAGGATTCTAAGAAATAAAAACCCAAAAATCAAAAAATACTTTCCGAAATACTGTTGCACTTTAGGGTTGCTATCGCAATTGTTTTCAAATGGAAATGATCAACGATTGTGGTTGTGGAGATCCAAGACTTCCATTACCCGATGAACAAACAAAGGCTTGCAATTTACACAACGCCACTCAAAGTTTATAGAATTTTTTTGACAAAAAAATCTAATTTTTCAGAAGCTTGTCTGAAGAAGAATAATGAAGCAGCTGGTGGGGTGTACCGGACAAAAAAAGCCTGTAAGTTTGTGGATCAAATTGATCTAGATACTTCTTCTAAAAGATAGTTCTTCTAAAAGATGTATTACAATAGTTCTTTAGGTATTTGTAAACAGCAATGCACCGAATATTTATTCGAAACTTCCTACTCAGCTGCCGCATGGCCTTCGGTGAATTTCGTTATTGGACAAGGGTGTCAAGGAGCTCAAGAGATATTCAATGATTCAACTGCTTGCACCGAATATTATAGGTGAGATAAAAATGAAGGCAAATCAATATTAATATTTTTAAAACAAATGAAATTTTAGAGTGAATACAGCCTTTTTGGTGAGTTCTTTTTGTTTTTGTGGGTATGTCGTTAAGGTGTTGCAACTGTTGTAACTGTTGTAACTGTTGTAACAGTGATCAAAATTAAAAATCATGCTTTCTAGAAGAAATTTTTCATTTGTCTTGTCTTTCATCAAATCTACTACTTCAATTTTACAGGAGATTTTCTATGAACAGCTCAACTATGAGACTCTGGAAGAAACACAAGGGTACACGGTTTGTTTCTTTCAAATAGCTAGCCACCAACTGATTAGTATATGGAAATAGTGATCAATAGTGAGAAAATGTTTAGATGACAAACTTGTTCGCCGATTTCGGTGGCAGTATTGGGTTGTGGATTGGGTTTTCAGGTTAGAAACTTCACTCGAAAAAATATGTAACACATAAACATTACCAATGATTCTTAAAAGAACAATTTACTTTCTTCTTTGGGTGTATCTTCTAAATCAATAAATCGACCTACTTTTCCCATATTTTCCCTTCACTATTGTTTTAAACAGTTTAAGCTATTGGGTCAATGCGTATGAAATGGCTAAATTTTTCCAGTTTACCCCAACCAATCACAAAAAGTTCTTTTTATGATTTGTTGCTAGTGAAAAGTTAGACAATAGTCAGCTTTTTGACTAAAGATTCCAGCTGTGGAACAAGTTATTTCAAGCAATCATGATTTTCATGGGCGTTTTCAATAAAAAGCTAATTCATTAAGAAATTCCAGGCTTTATCGCTCGAAATTATTTTCAAAACTCAAAAAACATATTGATAAAAATTCACTGAAATCTTTGAATAGAACTACCGTAAATACTGTAATAGTACCCCACCCCCATAATGACGGTGCGGAGCGTTGCGTAGTCTAGCTTTGAACGAGTTTTTCTCGACACTGGTTTAAGCTACAGTGCGCGCTTAGGTATCAAAAAATAGCTGAAATTCAGGGCTATTTTTTGATAACAAAGACGCATTTTTTTGAAAGTACGGGGGCTTTGAAAAAAATGAAATACTAAAAAACTTTTGCGACTACGCGACTGTACGAGGGGAGTGGGGTACTATTGGGGGGTGGGACAAATGCGACCTTTTTTTTGCGCACCTGGACATTTGCGCACCTTTTTTTTGCTGGAAAAGGCCTTAGGAAAGGCCGTAGAGCTTTGAAAATCTTTCGAAAATTTTTCCATATAAGGGAATCGTATGCGTAGATTCCGAATTTCGACAAATCGGACCTCGCTGACACGTCAAATTTGGGCTAAAAGGCAAAAACTGCGGAAAAGCGTTAAGTTGCGTAGTTTTTGCCTTTTAACCCAAATTTGACGTGTCAGCGAGTTCTGATTTGTCCAAATTCGGAATCTACGCATACGATTCCCTTCTATGAAAACATTTTCGAAATATTTTCGAAGCTCTACGGCCTTTCCTAAGGCCTTTTCCAGCGAAAAAAAGGTGCGCAAATGTCCAGGTGCGCAAAAAAAGGTCGCATTTGTCCCACCCCCGTACTATTGCAGTATTTACGGTATGTTGATTAAAAAATATCGAGCTAATAAAACTTTGGCTCAAAAGAACATCAAAGTTGATTTGAATCGATCAAAAAGTTGAATCGACCAATCGATCGAAAAGTTTCTCTATCATTTCATGTCAAATAAACAGTTTGCCCGTTGTTATTAGCTTAAGATTATAACTCTTCATTCTAGCCAAACAGAAATTAGATAGCTGCTCTGGTGGAGAAATTTACATAGAGTGCTTGACTCTAGATTGACCATGAACCATGACTGATCTGACATGAACAGTTCACAGTCAACAATTAAAATTTATTTGAAACTGCAAGAATGTATTATTTGTTAGAGCTGAAATATGCCTAACTAAATAAGAGAATTCAAATTTTTCTGGTGCTTTTCAGTGATCACGGTTTTCGAATTTCTGGAGCTGATTTTTGAGCTTGCCTACTATGGATTTGTTGTGGTGCCGAGGAGAATTCATAAAACATTACTAGAGAAAAAGCAAAGGTTGAAAAAGTATATATCAAAAAAATATTGAGTTACAGAAAGAAAAGACATGGATTGTCAATTCCTCAACTTCTCTACAAACATATGCCGAGTCATTCGGGTACCAAAATGTTTCCGAAAAAGAGCTCCAAAGAAGCAACAAAGTCGAAAAGTGAGGAAGCAGCTGTGCTTAGGTAATCATTTTTTGGGGTTTTTTCAAAAGTTCGACAAGTTTTAAGAATCTCCGTTGTAAAAAATTTAATTCCACATTTCAGTAATGACACAAGTATGGCTACTCTGCCGCCAGATGGAAAAGAAATCGACGAATGGCCACCTTGATTTTAATGGGTTTTGAGAAGACTTTTGAAGCTCTCTTGTACTTTTTGATTTGACAGTCTTTCCGATTTGACAGGCATTTTTCACAGAGAAACTTTTTTTTCATTTTTTTATCCACTTATCTTGTCAAATATTTAGATAACTAATTTTAATAAATTCATTAATTAACATTTTATTTAGTTTATCAATACACTTAAGACATTAGAAAAGAGAAAAGAGAGGAATGAGACAGCCGCCTTGACCCGAATATCTCTGAAGAAAGACCAAAAAGAGTTATATCAGCTCGGGTGAAGAAAAGAACCAATCATCCAGAAAAAGAAGAAATCAGCATAGAGGATTGGAATGGAAAAGAATTGGAGAATATAGAGAAAGGGTGCTGTACAATGAATGTATCGAGACACCATATCAAGAGAGTCAGTCATTATCAATCTTGAGAACAACAGCTTCGTTTGTAAATTCCGTTTGTTTCCATTGTTTCCATATGCTTGCCTTTGATCAATCTAGATTAACTGGAGAAGTTTTATTGAAAAGAAATGTTATACATTTTCCTTTTCTTTTATATATTCTTATACTAAATTCTTTTAGCAAATTCTTGAAGAAAGACCCTTGAAAAGTCATTTGGGTCAATGTTCGAATAATGAGAAGTTTATGGGTGGAAAATGAGTGGATGAATCATTTGATTTTTATCTTTCAAACGAAAATCTATCGTTTGTCTGTTCGAGGTTTTAAAAAGCTGTATTTAATTTGTTTAATAGTCATTTTTTAAAATATTATTGAATTTCTTTGGAGATAGAATTGGGTTATTGATTTCTGTGCTTGAATTCAAATGACAAATAGTTTTGGCTAACAATATTTTCCTTACCTTGTTTCACTACTAGCTGTCGCTGATTCGAAAAAGTGATTCAACTCGAGAATGATTGCGGTCACTAAAGAGGAACGATCTCGAGAGCCTTGTTGGGAATGGAGAAATGAAGTAAATGGGGAAAGAGAAGGGGAGAGTCCTTTTCCCTTAGGCTGTCCTCAGGACTTGTGAGGGGAATGTCTTTGCCTTTTCTCTTCTTTTCTTTTCATTCTCTTTTCAGATCCATTGCTGTTTGTCTCTGTTTACCGGCTAGCTGTGTGACCGTAAGGGTGGTCGGATAGATTGGGGGGAGGGGTACGAAAAGAGAAACGAGAAGAAGAAGCACTAATACGCGAGACCCGGACGATCAACCTCAGCACCCATTCATTTCCTTTCTCACCATATTTGGACAACCAACCCTTTCAGTGATTACTTTTTTGCAAGTTTTCTTTAAAGTCCAATTTTCCATCCTCCATTATAATTTGTATCTTTGATTATTTATGATTAGCTTGTTATATAGGTTTCTTTTAGAAAACTTTTATATAGTTTCTTTTAAATAGCTTTTAACTAACAAACCAGCATGAAAAATAAGCAATAGCCAGACTTTTGGATTCTAAAAGAGATTGAGGCACAAATTTGCATGAACTCTCGAAGAAATGCCTCACAAACAGAAGCGGCTCTTTGAAACATAGGAGAAGAAAAGAGGAGATGGATTGAAATGGGATGAGAAAAAGGACCTTGATGAAGAGATGAAAAGAAAGACCACAGTCACATCCAGAGAGCCGGTCACTACAGGGAATCCGATCCGATCTCTCTTTCCTTTTCTATTCCCAACTTGGTCTCTTCAGATGTGAAGAAGTGCACATGGCGTTAGTTGTTGTGTGCATGATGCTTCTTTATTCCCATTCTCAAAGCTTCAAGTGAATCCTCGGCAAGCGTCGTTCCCATGAACAGCCACGTCAAGTCGTTTACTTGTGTTTTGCTCTTTATCAGACTATTTTACGTAAACATTCGTACCCTACAAACATTTTATTTCATTTATGTATTGCACAGTAATAGTAAGCAATCTCAATACTCAAAAACTTCTGCTTAAATTGTTTTGCAATTTGTCAATTTTTACTTATTAAGCTTATATTATAGTTATATTATAGTTCAAAATAGCTTTATTTTGTCTATCTAATAGGTGTCGGACGAGTGCTGTCCTTTGACTGAAGGCTTCACGGGGTTCCGTGGCAATGGCCCAGATGTGGCTCTCAGCCATTATACTTTTATACGCAAATCACGTTTTGGTAAGTTTTTAGTTGCATAACAGATTTTTTCATGTTTATGCTGATTGTTTTCATGCATTATTGCAGAGTGAAACGACATCACCGTCAAATTTTCCATTCCCCCCATCGTTTTCATCAAACGATACCGGAAGTCGCCTTTCGGATGTTCAATTATCTTGTGCTGAAGGATGGGAAAGAAGCGGAGAAAAATGCTTCCGTCTTTTCCCATCAACTCGTTCATGGTCTCAAGCTTTAGCAACTTGCGATCGGTAAGTGAAAAACCAAAAGTACACAAACAAGTCATATCAATCACTATTCGAACTGATCAATGAATTTGTTCAAAAGTTATCATTGATTTTAAGGTACGGCGCTCAATTAGCACGAATCGAGTCTCCAAATGAGAACGAATTCTTGGGAAAAATGACCCGGAAACCCGGTCGAACACAAACAACCGGACAACCATTTTGGATTGGTAATTGAGAGCTTTAATAATTTATTCAAAATCTTTGTTAGGATTGAGTGCCGAGGAACAAGCAGGTGATATTGTTTTCCGTTGGTCAGACGGAACTCCTGTCTCTCGTTATACCGGCTTTTGGGAACACGATCAGCCAGATCATGGATCGGGAAGCTGTACTTTAGCTGGTAAGTCAAAAAAAGTAAGACAAAATCCTCTAATCAATGCTTAAGGTGTGCAAAAAAGCTTCATTACAATGGAGATTGGATCAATGCAACTTGCTGTTGCCTTTCATTTGTGAGAGACCAGCGTGCGTCAAAGGTAAAATCATTTCTTTTTACTTTTACTAAAAGGCACAAACCTGATTTATTTTAAAAACCAAACGCTGTTGAAATAAATAAATGAATTCTTGGCTTAAACCTATAATTAGATTAGCATTGATATATTTATTATAACATTTAATAAATAAGTGAATACTTTCAGGCGCATTTTTCTGTCTTAATGGCGGATGTGTTCCTGAAGGAAAACATTGCAATGGAGTTGATGATTGTCGAGATTTGAGTGATGAGCTCAATTGTCCCGGTATTATTTCAAATACACAAAAAAGTGTAGCATTCTTTAGCCTCTCATTCTGAGCTTGCTTGTCTTCAGTATGAAAAAGGTGAAAGTGGGAAATTTGCTACTCCAAATTACCCAGCTAGTTACAAGGTAAGTGAAAAAAAAGAACTTTAAACCATTATTTCTATCAGGGAAACACAGCTTGCCGATGGGTTATTGAAAGTCCGATCAACACAAGAATTCATGTAATTTTAAAAAACTAATAAGAAATAAACAAAACGCATGTTTAGCTCGAATTTGAGTATTTCGAGACAGAAGCGAATGAGGATATCGTGACAATTCTTGATGGTGGACCCTCAGAAAATGCATCCACCGTTTTGGCATCAATTTCCGGTAAAAAACAATTTTGACTTAGTAGTAAGTCTTCTTATTTCAGGAAATAAATCTCCAGAAGAGCTCTCTTTCACATCTGCTTCAAATATTATTATTGTAAGATTTCGATCAGATGCCCTGGTTCAAGCGAGAGGTTTTCAAGCAAATTGGAAAGCAGGTACACTCGGAAGAACAGACTCATAGATTTTTTATCTAGTTATCTACTTTATCTCATTCCATCATAACCTTTTTTCTAACTTCAGAAAAGTTATGATTACTTTAACCGTTTTCTTCAACCAAGTAAAGTGAAGAAGTGACAACTTTAACCAGTTTTACTTCTGAGAATTAAACTGATAAATTCGCAAGCCTGGTAAGACCAATTTGAGAGTCAAATAATGTATTGTAGAATGGAGAAGACACGTAAATGTTTGTACGAGTCCGGGGTAGGGTAGGGGTACTTGTTCTTTCATCAGCTTGTCCCTTCTCTGTGATCACCCCAAGCCTTCTTTTCTCCTTGTCTTTCACATATAGAGTGTGCAAATCAAGAGAGAATTCGGGGCGGCAAACCTTTGAGAGGAAATCCCCACGCGTTCACTCTCCATTCTTCTCTCACTTTTTTCAACCTTCTAGCTTATTGTTAAAGAATTGTGGAGAGATTTAACACTTGCAAAATTTCAAAAAGACTACACTTTTTTTGAAAGGAAACTGAAGCTTAAGATAAAGAGAACGATTAGCTTAATATTATAGCAAAATACTTTTTAGTGCCATTCCAATGTGGCGGTGAATTGACGGCTCAACCATATGGGCAAAGTTTCTCGAGTCCCGATTATCCAAATGGATATCCAAATGATGTGGAATGTGTTTGGAAAATTGAGGCGTTGTTTGGCAATCTAATCACAATTGCGGTACTGAATCATAAGAAAAACAGAAATGTTTTATCTATTGACTTCATGGCTTCATTTAGTTGGAAGATCTTTCTATTGGGAAAAATGACTATCTTCTTATTTATGATGGACCATCACCGGCTGCACCAATTCTCGCTCGATTAAGTGGAGAGAAAAATGATGTTTGCTTACAGAAATTATGATAAAATGAGATGTTTCCTTTAGACAAATGATCATATAACATCAACTTCTCATTCAATTTATATTTATTTCTTTTCGGATGGACTAAAAGAAAAGGGAAGAGGATTCACACTTGGATATAAAAGAGGTAAAGCTGTAAAACAAGTGGAAATGTTGTAAATTCATTGCTTGCAACAATTATCTTTTATAAAAAAGCATCCACAAAAACTTTGCAAGCATTATAAAGTTTTTTGTAAATTCAGGTTGTGACGTAACAGTTCGTCAATCATCTGGATATCTTATTTCACCGGGAAATACGAGGGTTCTTTTTTTGAAGCATTCATAAATAAATGAAGTTCCAGATTCCTTATCCGGGACTTCTTTCTTGTACTTACACAATCGAGGTTCCAAATGCGAGAGGAGATCATTCACTTTCACTTATTACTAATCGTTTCGATCTTGCAGTTGATGATTTCTTGAAGGTAGAAAATTCAAATTATTTTTCTTGGGCGCAGCTAAAATCTAAACTTTATTGAAGTCAATATTAACAATAGAAATGAATACTTATTGTTAAAACTCCGAAATTCATTTAAATACTTATTTGATAAACTGTAAGCAATTCCAAATTTAAGTGTGAAAGTTCCAAATATAAGTGTAAAATTGAGAAACAGATGAGTCTAAAGCATTATTTTCTTGTTTCTTTTCTGTTTCAGCATTATTTTCTTTTTCTTATTTATCGTGCCCTAGGTGTTTGAAGGGTCGACAACTGGAAAACCTCTGCATGAAGGCGATGGATTTTTCAGCCCAACAACGACCACCAAAACAGCTTTTTGCGAGACAAGTAGGTGCTACGGATTTATAAAAATGCAAAAAGTTACATTTACATTTAGATACAGTTACAGTTAGATTTATACAAATACAAAATAAAAATACAAAAAGTTGATTTATAAGAGATACTTCAGGGACGAGTACAAATGATTTTTGAGACAAACGCAATACGAAGTGGCACTGGTTTCAATTTCACTTTTTCAACTAGTACGTAGAATTGAATTGAACTAAATTGAACTAACTATTCTATAGATTGTTTACCATTGAGAGTTCCATCATTGGTTACACTATCATCGAAATCGACAACATATGGAACGACTGTAAGTTTGGAAAGAAATCGCTATTTTTGCTAGATAAGCTCATCAATTTGCATCACCAAAGTTTTAGTTAACAATCGCTTGTCCGAGAGGTTATGAATTTTTGAATGGGAAAGGGAAACAATACACAATTTTGTGCGAACTTGGTGGAAAATGGTCAGACTCGAAGATTCCCGATTGTCAACGTAAGAAAATAGCCTTCTTGCCTACAACAATACCACATTTCAGCCTTATACTGTTCTCCTGTTCCCCAAATTGCCAATGGATTTGCCGTCTCAGCCACAAATGTCTCATTTATGGGAAGAGCTCGATATTCTTGTTATGAGGGATTCAAATTCCCTTCTGCTCGTGAATCCGAAGGTGAAAACTTATAGATTGTGTTAATAGTTATGAATGATCAAATATATTTAGAAATCTTGTGTTCCGAAGATGGTCATTGGACACCTCCCCCACAATGCAAAGCTGCCAGTTGCCCAGCTTTGAGTCCATTCCAGAATGGAGATCGTTCACTTGAATTTGGAGATGGAACTGGCTATGGAACGGTCTTTAAATTTGAATGTACTCCCGGATATAGGTAATCATTTTACATCATTTCGAACTATTATAACTCGAAAATTGTAGAAGAATCGGTGCTTCGACTCTTTTATGTCAAACCGACGGAACGTGGAGTTTTGTGCAGCCAATTTGCAAACGTAAAATAAAAACGGAATTAATAAGTTACACAAGAACATTAAAGGTTTAACTTGTTCAAATATCCCTAAAATTGGAAACGGACGTATTGTGGTCGAAGAAAAATTCCATTTTGGTGATACTGCTCGTGTCGAGTGCGATTTCGGATATAAAAGTGATGGAGCTGATGAGGTAAGTTGTTTGGGGGGTGGGACAAATGCGACCTTTTTTGCGCACCTGGACATTTTTTGCTGGAAAAGGCCTTAGGAAAGGTCGTAGAGCTTCGAAAATATTTCCATATAACGGAATCGTATGCGTTGATTCCGAATTTCGACAAATCAGACCTCGCTGACACGTCCAATTTGGGCTAAAAGTCAAAAACTGCGGAAAAGCGTTAAGTTGCGTAGTTTTTGACTTTTAGCCCAAATTGGACGTGTCAGCGAGGTCTGATTTGTCGAAATTCGGAACCTACATTCCCTTCTATGAAAACATTTTTGAAGCTCTACGACCTTTTCTAAGGCCTTTTCCAGCAAAAAAAGGTCGCATTTGTCCCACTCCCGTTGTTTGTTTCTTTTAGAATTCCCCCAATTAACTAAAGTTTACTTAAGTAATTCAAAATCATTTATTCAAAAATTTTAGGTGAAATGTTTGGCGAACCAGACCCTCTCGTCGATTCCCAAATGTATTGATATTGACGAGTGTGCCGAGCAAAAATCTCTTTGTTCAGGTGAATTTATTTTACTTTTTAAAACTATCAGTTTATTTTGGATATTAACTAGGATTGTTCAGCTAAGGATTAGAAATTATAACTTTTCTTTTAAGAATCATCCACCATTTGCAAGAATCTACCTGGTGGATACACATGTCAATGTTTGTCAGGATTTTCCGGGCCGAAAAGTAATGAATGTTTTAAAGCTCACTGATAATAATCAAAATCTCAGTTTGCTCTAATCCATCACCGCTATATTTGGCTAAAGTTGGGGCTTCATCCGAAAATTTCCTATATCCAACAGCTACTCTTTCAAGAGGAGGATGGTGTGCAGAAGAAGGCGATTTGAAGAAGGTTTGATCAGCTAAGTACATTCATAGTAAAGAGAACATAAAGTTTAGACGGTCACAATTGACTTGGGGACCCCGAAAACGGTAGAAAGATTGCAAATCGAGAAAACCTCTGAGGGATATCCCACTCGAATCTCCTTGCGATTTGCCGAAAATGCCTCAAGACCTTTAGAGCAGTACACAGTTGGAAAAGATTCGGTGAGTGAGGCACAAGCTACATAGATTTTTGCTGAAAGACGATGGTTTCTAAAAGTCTGGAATAACTCAATGAATTAGATATTTCCCCTTCGAGGAGTGTCCATGTCTGGTGGAGAACTCTTTACGTTGCCACACCCAATCGAGGCACAAATCGTTGAAATAAAACTTGTGGAAACAAAAGGATCACCTTGTGCTCAAGTAAGGCTTTTACAAGAGAAGGCTTACGCTTTTCAAGAGCTACCAGCTCTCACTATCAGTAAAAAGCCAAATCCTTTAGATCACGGTATTGGGTTGCCAGAAAAGCTCATGCTTAGACATCAATGAATGTGAGGGAAATAATGGATACTGTGATCACATTTGTTTCAACAAAATGGTAAGCAATAAGCGATTTCATCTGTCTGTTCTGTTCTTTGTCTGTTCTTTGTCTGCTCTTTTCAACACTTGTCTTGTTTAGGGTTCTTATGAATGTGGTTGTCGAGAGGGTTTTGATCTTTTTGTTGAAGATGGACAAAGTGGACGAATTGTGAAAGAAGGAGAGACTGGCAAGCATAATCTCGATGTATACAGGTAGCAACAGCTTCAAAAAGTCGACAATCGACAAATTAAAATAGGAACTTAATAAAGTTATCATAATAATTAATAAAAGTAATGTTTAGATTCAATAAAACGTGTGTACCAAGAGTTTGCCCTACTGTCACTTCACCGATTAATGGGAAACTTCTCGCAACTCACAAAGAATTTGTTTATCCGATGACTGTCAAATTCCAATGCAATTTTGGATATCAGGTAGAAAACTTATGCGTATGTTGAATCCTAATATGCATTTTATAGATGATGGGAGCTGAATTCATCCAATGTCTTGCTGATGGTACATGGAACGGGACAACCCCATTTTGTCTACGTTTGTTTCATTTTGAATCAATAATTCGTCAATCAAAGCTAAACTGTTTAATTGGCCACTCTAAACAGTATCGTGCTTTTTATATCATAAAAGCATTTAGCTGCCACGTGTCAAGGTGTGCACAATGTATCGACGATCGGCCTTTATGTATCACCGGATAATGCAACAATTGCTTTTGGTCAAAATGTTTCCATTACCTGCACACATCAAAATAGACCAGGTTTTGATTAATTTGTATTTTGATTTTTGGTTTTTATTAGCTCGCCATTTTCATTAGCTTTTCACTGTTTAACCGATTCAATTTTCAAAGCATACAAATTTCATTTGTTTAGCCCCTTCAATGTTCTTTCGAGAATGTGTCTATGATCCACAAAACGATGGCAGAGACTATTGGTTGAGTGGAGCACCGGTTGACTGTCCGATGGTTGGTTGCTCGCTTAGAAAATTTAAAATTACAGGAAAGGGTTGCAAAGAGGAAAATGAATTTATGAGTTGAAGATAACTTCATTTTTTAGATTGATTGCGGTCGTCCGCCACAATTGGCTGGAGCTGTTTATGGCGGAGATAATGGGGTCTACGAGGTAAGCCTCAACAAGACAACTAAATCTTTTTAATCAGCGATGCTTTTGTTACTATTGATTAATTACCGATTAATAGATCAAAACTGTTTTCTTTTTACTGAATTGTATGAACTTTATCTAGGTGGGAGCTTCGTTGCGCTTTTCTTGTCGGCCTCCATATGCTTTGGTGGGTCGTTCTTCTTACGATGACACTCTCGTTCGGTGTCATCTTGATGGCTCGTGGGATATCGGAAATCTTCGATGTGAAGGTAATCGTAAGGAAAGGGTTTTAAAAAACTTTTTTTAGGACCTGTTTGTGTTGATCCGGGCTATCCGCCAGATGGCTCTGTCTCCTTGACTTCGGTTGAAGAAGGAGCGGTAGCAAAATTCTCGTGCAACCGACCTGGGTTCAAACCTTTCCCTTCTGACGCTATCAACTGCACTCTTGTAAGGGAATCAATCAAAGATCAATCAATCAAACATTATAGGGAACGGCATGCAGTCTTTCGGAAGATCTTGGAATCAGCGATGGATATGTTCCAGATGGTGCTTTTAGTGACAATGCTGATACTGTCAACTACGGCTATGAGCCATATAAGGTTGCTTGAAATTGCAATTAATGTCTTGGCTTAACCATTCTTTTAGGCAAGAATGAGCTCGACTGGATGGTGTGGTCAAAATGACACATTCATTTTCCTCTCCGTTGATCTGCAAAGAGTCTACACATTGACCACTTTGAGGCTATCAGGAGTAGCGAATGGAGGTCCTTTAAGAGGACATGTGACAAAGATGCAATTGTTCCACAAAAGTCAATACACTCACAATTATGACACATATCCTGTGGAATTCGAAACGCCGTCTGGAAATCACAACGCAATGCATCATTTTGAGTTGCATCCATCGCTCCAGGTTTTATTCTTGTGTTGTAAAAGAAACGAAAGGGTTTTAGGCTCGCTACTTATTGTTGGCAGTGACCGAATATGAAGGTAGTCCATGTATGAAGTTTGACGTTCAAGGATGTCTGGCTCCAACTTCTATTCAAGATATCCCCATTCACTTACAAGTGATTTTCATTTTCCAATAGCGAAATTAAATACAAAGCAGGTCGGCTGGAACGCTTCTGTACCGACGTGTATCGATAGTGAACCACCGGAGTTCAGGTAATTTTTGACACGATCGCAATATAAAAGCTACATTTAGTAATTGTCCGGTGAATCCAATCTATACAACTACTGACGAGAACGGCCAAATCAAGCCTATTGAGTACGAGATTCCAAAAGCCTTGGACAATTCGGGTCGAGTCGCATGGGTGAGAGTTGAGCCACAAGAATTTGAGCCTCCGAGAGTGATCACTGCTGATCTTGATGTACTCTATACGGCTTTCGACGAAGCGGGAAACACAGCTGAATGTTTAGTGCAGATTCGAATTCCAGGTAAGTGTTGAGAAAAGTAAACTCAGATGAAGATGAAGACGAAGATCAGGCCATAACTTTGCAGACACTTTACCGCCTGTGATGAAATGCCCTGACTCGTACGCACTGTGGGCATCGGAAGGAATGAATTCAACAGAAATTATCTTTAATGAAATGAGCGTCCCGATGGTCATTCAAGATATTTCCAATATCACCGCCGTCACTTTTGTCCCCGAAAAAGCGACAATCAAACTTGGGGAATATGTAACAGTTGAAGTGAGAATGAAAGAATAAATAACATCTGCAAAAATTTTAGGTAACAGCCATTGATGCGCTCGAGAACAGCAATAAGTGCAGCTTCCAAGTCGCCTATATGCGTATCTTATCAATTTTAAATTAAAAAAAAATTAAATTTAAGCGGAAATCTGTTCCCCTTGGTCATTGGCTAGTGCCTCGAATACATTGAAGATTTGCCGGGAAAGAAATGGAGCCACAACTTGCACAATTTCTTGTAAAAAGGGATATCGCTTTGTGGATGAGGAAAAGGTTTGTGAAGAAAGGAAGTAAAATGAACTTGGATTTAGACGGAAAAGGAGTTTATTTGCTCTGATGGGACATGGTCTCCATCAGGGATTGCCCCATCTTGTGTTCAAGATCCAGATGAACCGGCTCGATATGAGCTGGGTGTTGCATTTGATTATCCCATTGCCACACCAGTCAGCACCGATTGTATAAAGGTTGGATTTGAATTTGGCTTCATTTTTATACAATCAAATAATCGGCTTGGTCTAAAGACTGAAGTTCCACAATTCATAACAAATTCCTGGAACTCTCACCAGTTGTTTGTGATCCAATTAGTATTAGTATCCAATTAAATTCAACTGAATCAGCAAACAAGTCAGACTTTAGTTCTTAAACTAACTATAAGTAACAATTTGAAAGTGGCTAGCTTTCCAGGGGTTACACAGCACTTGTTGCAACATATTTTGATTCTCTCGACACAGTGCTCTCATCTCGGTGCTCCTCATCCGTTCAAGTGAGTTCTAAGGGAAAATTTCGAGTTTACTTATCTTTTTTAGATTTATGTTCGTTTTCTTGATGTTCGCTTTGATCAACAACCTGGAAATCTACGAGGAAACTATACGATACAGGTTATCCTATACACCCTAAACTTAAACTCCTTTACAGATTCTCCCATCCGTGCTGCAAGATGTTTTCTATGAACTTTGTGGCTTGACCCTTCGGACAATCTTTGATCTCACAATTCCAGGTAATTACAAGATACTTAGGATTTTACAAGAGACTTCACAGGAGCTACTACATCGATTAAACAATTGCTTTCATTGGATGCTGGGGCTACACAATCAGGACAATGTCCTACACTTATTGCCGCTAACTCTATGATTTCTCAAGTGAGTTGATGATAAAAGTAATTTTGTTACTTATCAGAGAAAGCCTATCAGAGCCTTTCTCATTCAGAGAAAGTCAAAAACACTTAAAAAATCATTTTCTAGGGATTTGGATGTGCTGATGGAGAAGTTTTGCGACCTTCACAAGAGAAAAATCTTCCCGAATGCTGTCAGTTCTAAGCAGTTACATTACCAAAATCCGTCTTATGAGCTTCGTTAGATTCTAGTATAAACAAAGTTTAGTCCCATGCGCTGTTGGAACAGTGAATGTAAACAACACATGTCTCAAATGCCCCCGTGGATCTTTCCAGGTTGTTATAAAGTGAACTTTGAATTACAAAGCGTCATAGGATGAAAAGGGACAAGTTGCTTGTAAAGCTTGTCCAGATGGCCACTACACTCACTATTCAGGGGCCTACTCCATCGAGCAATGCTTAGGTATACTTTTCAAACAGTCTTTGTTTATAGAGTCTTTAAAACAACCAACTTTTAGCCATTTGTGGCAATGGTATGTACTCACCAACGGGATTGATTCCATGCCAACTTTGTCCTCGACACACCTATGCTGGACCACCACCAGTCGACGGATACAAGGTATCATAACGTGTTCAACACCTTTTTAAATCTAAAAACTTGAGATTTACAATTTTAAAATAAAGCCGATTTTATTTTAAAATAATGTGCAAGTACATTTCAGGAATGCACCTCATGTGAGCCGGGCTCTTACACGGGTCAGTCATTTTTTGTTAACTTTAATAACTTTTTCTTAGCTTTTCTCTTGAAATTTTTACATAACCATATTGCCAATTCTTAGATATTCTTTACTAACTTATTTCATAGAAAAATGTCAGATTAGAGGCTGGGTTTAAAATTTGATAAGATCTGAAACCCTCATTTTTTATGGAAAAACGAGTTCTTTACCTTGCGACCTCAAAATATCAAAAACCGTTTACTTTACAGTTTTGATATGTATTAGTGTTTTGTAGAGCACATCTAGACCTTCATTTTCGTATATAAAACTTGCAGGCAAAACTCAAAATTAAGCGAGTTAAGAACCTTCAAAAATAGCCAACATGAAAATGCGGCCTTTGATATTGAAATAGGTCATTTTTCTTTGTATTCACAAAAGATTTTTTGAAAAATTTTTAATACTTTTGTCTATGACTGTAAAATTCGGTGAAATGACCGCTAAGTACGAAATGGAGTGAGAAATACCAAACGTGGCTTAATCTTCAGCTCGTCTCGGCTCTACAAGTCCATCTCAATGCAAAAGGGCCTGTCAATCAGGCACTTTCTCTTTAACTGGATTGGAGCCATGCTCGAAATGCCCTCAAAACTACTATCAATCAAATGCTGGCCAACAAAAGTTTGTATCGAACAAGTGAAAGAAATAATTAACGAATTTAGATGCATTGAGTGTGGTAATTCGACGGCTACTTTCACAGATGGGGCTGGAGCAGAAGATCTTTGTTTGCCGATTGATTGTGCGGCTATCGCTTGTGAAAATCAAGTATAAAACTCTTTTTATATCAAGTAATCGAGTAAAAATGACTTTGAATTCAGGGTCTTTGTGCAATTGTCAACCATCGAGCGGTTTGTAAGTGTCGACCTGGGTACTCAGGATCTCGTTGTGAGAATGCAAATGAGGCAAGTGCAAGTTACATTCCTGCATTCCTGTATTTTATTATCTATTGCAGATATCATCGTTTCCTTACAATAACTCAATGAATATTTATCAAGAAAATTTGTTAGATCTGTGCTTCAAACCCATGCTTCAACAATGGGATCTGTGAGCCAGCTGCCGGAGGATACAGATGCATTTGCCCAAGAGGTATAATATTCAATCAATGAAATAAAGAAAAGTTTTTAGGTTATTCTGGTGCTCGTTGTCAAAAAGAGAAAGACGATTGTGATGGAGAGAGCTGTCCAAATGGGGGAATTTGTCACAATATGCCAGGAATCGGAAATAAGCAATGTCTTTGCAGGTTTATCATTGATTTATTTTCACTTCATCTAATAATTCTGGACTTTCAGAACCGGCTTTGCTGGTCCAGAATGTGAAGAAGTGACAGATATCTGCACGGCGGCTAATCCTTGTAGAAATGGAGCAGATTGCACGCCATTACAATTGGGTATGATGTATTTGTGATAAAAATTAAACAAAAAAAAAACATTTAGGTCGTTTCAAATGTAAATGTTTGCCTGGTTGGGGTGGAGCGACATGCGAGAGAAATCTTGGTTTGTTTTATCTCAGATTCAATTCAGTTATGAGTAAAAATGACAGAAACGAGCTTTTTTGTGTGTTTGTTAGCGTAGATTTGGATATACACCTCCTTTTGTTGGATCTTGTTTATGATGAGGTGGATAGTCGGGATTATAAGCTGGAGCTGAAGCCTCTTGTGGGAGCTGAATTTTTCGTTAAATTTGAAATTTTTTCAAGGATACCGGAGTGAATCCATTGAGATGCTCATGGAATTTCTTTGTTAGCAAGAAAGCGAATCCGTTGTAGATCGCATAAACGAATGAAAGGACTAAATGAGTGCTTTATATGTAGCTTTGAGAATGATTTGGGGTCAAGGCTATTCTCAAAAATTTTTATACTTTATGTAAACGATTTTTACCTCCAAATGCAGCTGCATACATTTTAAGCTCGACTTCCATTTTCCCCTTTTCGTGGGGATCCATCTCACCGGGGGTAAAAAGAACTAAAGACTTTTTTTCAAACATTCGCTAATCTTACTTAGCGCAATCTTACTTAGTGTGTGTGTGTGCAAAGTACCTCATAACTCGAGTCCCAGTGGGAACTTTGGTATGATTTTCTGAGACAATATGTAATCAATATCAGGGATTTAGTCTATTAAATCAGAATTTTAAAATCGCAACCCGTTTTTGAACAAAGTTCGGAAAAACCTATTTTGGTGGTGAGATCAAAGGGAATGGAGTATACGGGGTAATGTTAAAGTTTAAATTTAATGTAACTCTTCTAATACAACTATTCTAGAGTACAATTGTGCACAAATCTCAAGTTTATAATTTAATGTCAATGGATTGCAGTCAGGGGTATACATTTGGTCGACCGGACCATCCAGCAGTTAACCCCCAGTTCTGCCGGGGGTTAACTGCTGATATGTCTAATCCAAAAAAAGATCAAGATATTATACAACTATTGCTTTTGATAAATGAAACTTCATACGTCATGTAACTTGAAAACAGCTTCGTTCATCTTATGTTCTCCACCCATGAAATAGATCAGCATAACGATGAAAGCGATTGTCGAGCAAATGAAAAGACCTATATATTTGAAAAGTTTTTTTTCCATCTTTTGCTATTACCTGCGCAAAGAATCAATCGTGGTATGAGATAATGAGCAAGACTTCTTTTGTGAGCGAGCACCGTGAAGATTGAGGCCAATACCTTGAATTGTAAAGGTCTTTACTAGTTTTTCGTTTAAAATCTTGGCTTGGTCAGGTCACGAAACATTTTTATATCATTTACCTGGCAGACGAGGAAAAACGTGAAGAAAAAGAAAGCAAAAACTGTTGTCCAGTGTCTAAAGTTTATGTATTCTTTTCTCCTTCAAACTTGAATCATTTTTTCTCCTAAAAGTCTTGTTCAAAACTTAAGTACTTAATAAAAAGCTCTAATTTTCAGGATCTTCCAAATTCGTCTTTTATATTTTTGCGTGATTGAAGAGCCAATGTGGAAGCTATAAATAATTCGTTTTGAATGTATCCAAGCGATTTCAAAAAGGAAAGCTAGTCAAAGAAGGGATTGGGTGGATAGAAAGGGCGCCAATCCGATTTGTCCCCATAGAAGCATTCTCTCCTCCTTGGTAACGCACAATTGAGATTCCTTTCCGGTCGGGGTTGGGTAATCACCACCTAACCGGGTCATGTAAAAAGCAAAAGGTCAAAAGAAAATGTAGTTGTTTTAGTGAATATTATCCATGAAGCTTATACAATACATCGATCTGAAATTTGTCTCCAGACTCACCTACCTTTTATGATATTTTCTCTCATAGTTAGGAGTTTTAAAGCTAAAATCTTTCAGTTCAGTTGCTTATTATTCAAAGTTAAAAACTCATAGTAAAGTTGAGGAGGTGCCTCTTATTTCTATAACTCTTTGTTTTCTGATGGATGGATCGGGAAAAAGGATGTGTTTTTCGTCTCCTTTGGGATGTCCCTTTGACTCTTTTTTTTTCTTTTTCTCGTGCACATGTCCTTTGCGAAATTTGCCTCAAACGAGTGTTGTCGTCTGAAAACTTCAAAAAGAAAAAAATCCAGACATGTATGGAAAACTGGGGTAGGCTACTTTGCGCCAAATTTTTGCGCAACAGGGTCATTTGCGCAACTCGCCATAACTTTCTTCTAACTGGTCCAATCTTTATGATTTTGGTTTCATTTTGTAGATCTCAATAAGTGCAACAAAATGAAACCAAAATCATAAAGATTGGCCGACTTAGAAGAAAGTTATGGTGAGTTGCGCAAACGACCCTGTTGCGCAAATGACCCTGTTGCGCAAAAAATTTGGCGCAAAGTAGCCTACCCCGAAAAACTATTATAGTTGCTCAAAATCGAAAATAGGCAACAACTATTTTAGGCAATAATTTTTGTTACAATATTAGTTAATTTAAAAAATGGTATCTAACTCATTTTTATAGATTTGTAGTCTTCTCTTTTCAAATTCGGGAAAATTTTGTTTGGAGGATTTAATCCATCTGTTGTTGTCAGGGGTAGCTGCCACAAATGGGCACTTGACTAGGGAAATAAAAGGAACACGAAGAGGGATTTGGAGGGGAACAGAATGGGAGAAGGATAGAAGAGAGCAATTAAGAGACAAATAGTCTAGAGAAGGAGGGGATATCGAAGGAGTGAGTGAAATAGACATAGCGTGCCATTTGACCCTTTGTGTGTTCCTAGAAAGCACGAGCTTTACATCAAGACACTTTCAAAGTGCTAATGAACAACAAATCCAAAGAAATTCTGGCAAAATAATTAAAAATCAAATTTTATGACGTATCTTTTTATCAAAAATAATAACTCTTTTTAGACTCACGGACTAGAAATTGTTTCCATCAGCTCTTGGAAAACATTGTAAGCAAAAAAAGGCGACAATCACTGTGTCGAAAAGGGAAAGCACCTCAAATATTTGACATAAAAGATCTATAAAAATAAACTAACCGTAACACATTTATGAAGTGGCCAACAACAGCATAGAATCATCTCTAAAAGTTTAGTGAAGGTAAATGGAAAATGGAGGATCGATGAGAAAAGGGGATGGAAGAAGGAATGACCAAGAGGAGAAAGGGCCATAGAAGGGAGAGATCTCAAAAGGGGAAAGCCCGTCAAAAAGCCACGCCCCTGTAATCACTCAACTTCAAATATAAATTACAGCTTGCAATGGTTGAAGGAGTTTTTGAATAATACATACAAAAAAGTGAAACGTTTCTATTGAAGAAGAGAGGTTAAATAGAATGAAGAGTTTTTAGTAAAACGTTTTTTTTATACATTCATTAGTGAATTTTAGATGATTGTGCTGAACGGCCTTGCGCATTGAATGCAACTTGTGTGGATTTGGTGAATGACTTCCAATGTCGGTGCCCAAAAGGATTTACTGGAAAGAGATGCAATGTGAAAGGTTTGATAAATCTTTAAAAGATTAACAACAGATAGGTAAGTAACAGCAATGATTCAATGATTTTAGTTGATTTGTGTGCATCGGATTCATGTGTGAATGGGCTTTGTGTAGACACACTCTTTGCAAGACAATGCATTTGCGAACCTGGTATTCATTTCAATTTAATTAACTATCTGATATTGATAAACACATACAAAACATATGTAGGCACATAAGAATGTAAGCAGATGCACCTGTGAATCTACTTTTTAGGATGGACGGGCGATGTGTGCGATGTTAACATTGACGACTGTGCCACAGAGCCATGCCAGAATGGAGCCACTTGTCATGATATGGTTTGCTCAACTAATACTTAATAAACCAGATACATTATTTAGGTGAATGGTTTCTCTTGTTCTTGTCTCAACGGATACCATGGTTCTCGCTGTCAACTCGTTGATGATCATTGCGCTCTTCAACCATGCAGAAACAATGGTAAGTCGTTAAGAATAGGCAGAAATAAGAAATAAAATAAATTTCAGCAAGTTGCACAAATGGTGGTCCAACTTATACATGTGCTTGTCCACTCGGATTTGAAGGAGTGCATTGTGAGAGAAATATCGATGAATGTGCTACAATCGGAAAGGTAAGAACTGAATCAAAATGAGTATTAAAGACATATAAAGTTCTGCGGATATATACAATACAAAGTAAAGCATATCAACTTTTGCTACTTTGCATTTTAGTGCCATCCAAAAGGGACAGAGGCTTGTGTTGATGGAATTAACTCATTTACTTGTCAATGTCGACCTGGATATACTGGACAATATTGCGAAACACACATCGATCAGGTAACTCACTAATTTTCTTAATAACTGGATTCATTATACCTATTACTTCAGTGTGCTTCATCGCCATGTCAAAACAATGGAACGTGCACGGATTTCGGTGCCATTTTCAAATGCGTTTGTGCTCGGGGATGGACTGGGGATCGGTTCGTTAACTTCAACTATTCCAAAGAAGAGAAAACATTTTAAAATTGACAATTTTTATTTCTACAAGCATTTTCAGGTGTGAAATCGAGTCAGGTGCCTGTGATCTGAAGCCGTGCAAGAATGAGGGTCGTTGTGTAAATATCGTGAGCGACTATTTTTGTGTTTGTCCAGAAGGTTAGTCTTTCAAAACAAATCCGCACCTCATTTCTTTATAAAACTTTGTAAAGCTAGCTTTCAATCCAGGGGTATCGGGAAAGACTGCGAAGTGGCCCCCAATCGATGTCTCGGAGAGCCGTGTCACAATGGCGGTGTTTGCGGGGACTTCGGATCGCGTGTCGAATGTTCTTGTCCAAAACAATTTACTGGTATTTACAAAAATGTCGCAGTTATTATTCAAAGCATCTAGGTGCTGGATGTCAGTTTTTGACAGAGCCGTGTGCGCTCGGTACTTGCTTAAACAATGGAACTTGCACTCTCAAAGGCAATGGAGGATTCAAATGTGAATGTCCAGCAGGTAAGCCCAAAGTTCAAACAATAATTTTCTTCAAGGAATCTTATTTACAAATCTTTTATGAACTAATAGTTTAGGCTTCACTGGAATTCGTTGTGAAACGAATATCGATGAGTGTGCTTCACAACCATGTTCTTTATCAGCGACATGTATCGATCAAATTGATGGATTCCACTGTAAATGCCCATTCAATGTCACTGGACCTAATTGTGATAAGGTGACGTGATTGAGCTATGAGTTAGACAAAGCTTTCCAGGCTGTTGATGTTGATTATGATTTGCATTTCTTCGACCCGATTCGAGGAGCATCAGCTAGTCAAGCAATTCCACTCCCCACCTTGCTCAAAGTACTGTAAAATCAAAAATTGAAGTCAATAAGAACTTTAGGCTTTTACTATTTCCCTGTGGGTACAGTTCTCTTCAGCTGAAAGTCGAGGAACCGTGATGACACTTTATAACTCTAGGTTATTTGATTTGAAAAATATAAAGTACTTTAAATTCAGTGCTCCATTCCAATCAATGGATTTATCTGAGTTGCTTTCGGTGACATCATTTGGTGTAAAAGTGAATTTGTTCCCCGAAGAAGCATCACTTCAAATGTCTTGGCCTGCTTTACAACAAATAAACGATCGACGTTGGCACCATTTGGTACGTAGAGCTCGATATATCTAGAAATTTAAAAGCTAACAATAAAAAATTATGTAAATAGAAGATCTTTTATTTCCAGGTGTTCACTTGGAATTCGGATAAAGGTGCCTATTCACTTCTATGGAATGCAGTCTCTGTTTACTCTGATAAAGGATATGGTATTGGAAAGACTCTCAAGGCCAAGTACGTAGCAAAAATGCATATATAGTAATAAAGATTATTTAGCTTATTTGTGACTCTGGGTGAGCCAAGAGTCCCAACCTCTTTAATGGAGGGATTTTCGGGATCAATCACTCGAGTAAATGTCTGGGATAGAGCACTTGATAGAGAGATTGACGTGGCACCTCTTGTAGCGGAATGTCAAGGAACTGAGGTACACAAAAATATAGTTCATTGACCACTGATTTTAGGATCTATTTAATGGCTTAATTCTCCGATTTGCGGATTACTCGACTTTAGTTGGAAAAGTGAGTTTTGAATGGAAAGAGTTACTCTTAAAAATTTCAGGTCGAAAAAAAGGGCTCGCTCTACATGTGGTAGAGAAGTTCGAAATGAAGGAGTACAAGAGATTCGGATTCAGGTTCAACAAATTTACTAATTTTACTTTTTGCTTAGTTTTTTAAATAAATAGCTGCCAATCAAACTATTTATTTAATTTTAGAATTGTCCTTTGGATATCTTTGCTGTCTCATCACAAAGAGAAGTCAACGTCACATGGGAAGAACCAATCTTTGTGTCACCGAATGAAATTACCCGCATTGAGAAGAGTTTCAAACCGGGAACGGTAAAATTTGTTAAACAGAATAACTTTATTAAGTTTCTGCTAAAGATATAAAAAAATATCTATTCAGTTGCTTCCCCATGGACACTATCATGTTCTGTATGTGGCGCATGACAATGCACAAAGATCAGCCGTTTGTAGTTTTTCTGTAAGTTAGCTACTTACCTAACGTTATCTTGTTTAAAATTTCAAAGTTTTTTTAAACTAAACAGATAAAAGAAAAGCGTGTTGTTAGATTCGTGTCTCTCGAGAGCACTGCCCAGAAGTCTCTGATCCAGTAAATGGCCTTCAAGTCTGTGAAGCATGGGGACCAAATCTTCGATTCAAGGTCTAGTTTGAACTGATTCTAAAGAAACTATCTAAGCTGCATAACATCAAATTGAAATGCAAATAAAAGTATCATCAATTTAGGCTTGTTCAATTGAATGCCGTGAGGGTTTCGCCTTTTCTCGGCCTCCTCCTGTTTTCTATGCTTGTGCCGCTGATGGTTTTTGGAGACCCCGCCCGGATCGAGCTCTTCACTTCAAATATCCACAGTGTACAAAGTAAGACTTGAAAAAATAGTCTTGTTTCAAAAGAAAACAATCAGATCAATTCCGGCAACTCGATCGGTGCAATTGAACGTTCAATATCCGGCCGCTTCGTTGTGTAACGAGGCTCATCGAGATGCTTTGATTGAAGAACTGAAAAAACGGATCGATTCGATTAATGCTAAATGGGATTTTTGCAGTGAAAAGTACGAAAAAGTTAGGTAGTCTATTTTTTGAAATTTTCAGAGCTGAAATGGGTGGATGTGCTGGAGTACAATTGAATGTTGAGTGTTTGACTGGTAGAGAAGCAGCCGCTCGGTTGCGTCGCGAACAACCAAACAATTCGCATATCTTCCATGTTCATGTCGAGATTCCTGTGAAAAGGTCTGTCTTGAAGTTTTGAAATTTTTAAGCTACCCAAAAGTTCATTTAATTGATTAAGCTAAGTAATGAAAGTATACTATTAGTATACTATTAGTAATGGAAGTATGAAAGTATGCCAATAAAAAATGCAGTAACCTTCTTTCAGAGATTTGGTTACATCATCAGCAAATGGGGAAAAGACTCGTGTAATCGAGGCTCTCCAAAGAGATATTCTCTTATTGGGAGCTCTTGATATTTCATCAGCTGTTCCACATGCTCGTCCCGATCTCGGGGCACTTCGTCTAATCGAGAAATTCTCTTGTCAACGAGGAAGTGTTACTGTTGATGATCTATGCGGTTTGATGCAAAAACGTATTCCAACATAACAAACACACTTTAGTACCTTGTGCTCCGGGAAGTCGATTCTCTGCCGAGCATTCAGAGTGTCAATTGTGTCCTATTGGTTTTTATCAAGTAATCAAGTGTAGATTTGTTAATGTAAATGATTATTGTAGCCGCTAAATGGCCAATCAGAATGCATCACATGTGGAGCCGGTAAGACAACAATGGTCGAAGGATCAACAAGTGGAGAAGAATGTAAAGACGATTGCCCACCTGGACATCTCTTTGATTTGATTGTCTCACAATGTAGACCTTGTGGATTTGGCTTTTATCAGCCATCTGGAGGTGTGCAAAGTTTCATTTATTGTTGACAGAAAATTTAGGATCCTTTGAATGTTCTGCTTGTGGAGTGGGTAAAACTACTCTGACGGAGAGAAGCACAAGTGAAGATGAATGCAGAGATGAATGCCCAGGTGAGAATTAACCTCCTTTTTAAGGAGACATCTACTGTTGCTAATATATTATTGTAAGTTTTCCATAAATCTAGCAGCAATAGTTTAGATGGAGAGCATATCTCATCGTCTGGAATGTGTCAACCATGTCCTCTAGGAACTTATCGAACACGAGGAGAACATAAAGAGTGCATCACTTGCCCACCTGGTAAGCAATAACAAAGTTTCGTAAGAGTCTTTCAAATGCAGGAACAACAACACAAACTACAGCAGCTATTCGTAGAGAGCAATGTGATACACCTCGATGTGTTCGAGGACAATTTCTTGTTGTTGCATCGTAAGTTGTTGAGGCTTTTAACCATTCAACCATTCAACCATTCAACCATTCAACCATTCAACCATTCAACCATAAGTAAACCATTCAATTACAGAAGACAATGTCAATTCTGTCCTCGAGGAACTTTCCAAGATGAAGAGCAACACACGTCGTGTAAATTATGCGATCCTGATCATACAACAGCGGCACAAGGAGCCACAGCAAGATCACAATGCTATTCGACAAATCAATGTGCAACTGGAGAAGACAATTGCTCTTGGCACGCCTCTTGTATTGATCTTCCCGATGAAAATGATGTTCCCTCATTTACTTGTAGATGTAAACCTGGGTATAGAGGCAATGGCACGCATTGCTATGGTTTGTTTTTTGAGAGAAGTCAATTTTAACTAAAAAAAACTTCAGATGCGTGCACAAACTTCTGTTTAAACGATGGTGTTTGCAAGAAAACCCCCACTGGACATGTCGAGTGTCTTTGCAAGGACAACTTTAGAGGAGAACGGTAACAGATGAATCGACTTTTTCAGCTGACTTTTTCAATCTTCAAACACGAATCTAAATTCTAGATGCGAAGTCCGTTTCACTCCTCGTTCCCAGCGTGTTGCGCAGATCTCGGTGGGAGTGGGAGCTGTTGTTTGTGTATTGATTCTTGTTGTTTGTCTCATCTACATGATCTCCTGCCGATCCAATAGGTTTACTAATTATGTTTGAATGGTTTAAATTTATTTTCAGGGTACAAGAGCTTCCAGAAAAGCCGTCACTAGCTGACACAGTTCATTCAAATTTCCTCTTTGCCCGACCACCACCAATGGGTTTGTGAGAATCAATGTACAATGAATAATGCTGAACTAATTTATTTAGAAACTCCACGACCCATTGGCTACTATTATGAAGATGATGATGAATACGAAACAAGAAGTATTTTGTTGGTGGAGCTGATTCGTCACATCATGGTAAGATAGTACTTTTCCGTTTGTTTATCAGCAAGATAAAAATTGATGTTATAGATCAAATAAAAAAAAGCTAAATTTGTTGCTAAAGGCTAAATTTATTGGCTCTATTTGATTCTACATTAAATCTTTCAATTTTAGCGACAATAAGCCAGGGTGTTATTGTTGAACCGTTGGATGGAGAAAATGAAGACCGAATGAGACATGTGATGTCCCATATGTATCGCCCCTCACGTCCATCCGATAATTCATCACATGAACATTTTTGATCAATCAATTAATCAATCATATATTCTGAATATACATCTAAATCCATGCTTCATTTTGTCTCATTCTCGCAATACGAGTTCTCTATAGGTGACTTGCTCTATCTTTTGTGTGTTTTAGCCTTGACATTAACGACAAATTCTCAGTTTTGTGTGCACCTCAAGAATTCTACACTTTCGAATTTGCCAACACATTCCATTTTTGCTCAACTTCTTTTATATAATCAATTGATATATAAATCTTTATCGAGATGATGAGGAACAAATACCGTTGACTAGTGTTTGCAAACTTCAATTTTATATCTACACAATACCTACACAATTTCCAGGTGTAAGTATCATCCACAGAGACTAGTGATCTTCCGCAAAATAAACAAAAAACAAAATTGCGACTAGATTTTCTTATCCAAGGCTTGTAACTTGAAGATTTTGAGGAAGTTGCAGATCTTAATTGCACTTGGAAGTCCTCTCCCCTTTTAATCTAGTGTACCAGAAAGTTTGTTTATGTGCAGTGATAGCACAAAGTACGCACGGGTTTAGTGTGGATAAAAATATCATAAAAGAGGATCACTTGTAAGCTGCCTTCAGCTTTTTGTACAAATCGAAAGATGCTAGAATTCTTCTTTTGTCAACTTTCAAGTATCAAAAGACTTTTTCTGGAGTGAACCTGAAAAAGAGAGATCGAGAGTTCATCACAAAAAAGAAATTTGTTTTCCTTTTACGTGAATGAATGAATGAAGATGAACCAACCCTTGACTTTGTCTAACTCTTGATCAAAGAAAAGAGGAAAAGAAAAGGAAAAGATACTTTTCGGCTATCAGCCAAATAAACAAACAATGGTGAAGAGAGGTGAGATAAATCCCATCTACGGGAAATATTTGAAGAGATAGCCTCACGTTCTTTTTCTCATCACGTCTTCCTCTATTCGATTTTATTTTTTGGTTTGCTATTACTACAGAAACCGGATTTTGTTGTCGATTTTCGTTGAAGCGACTTAAAGTAACTTTCTAATACGCTTCTTTTTTTATTCTAATCACTAATTTTAGATATTATGATGATGTATGATCTCATATTTTGTTTTCTTTCTTATATTGGGCCGATTCTTGGAGAACCATGGATATCAAATGTTTTGGGAGATCAGATACAGAACTCTCTTTTCAATAGCGCGCCCCCACTCGCAGATACACTAAGGTAAAAAAAAAGATCAATAATAGCTATTTGTTATACTATAAGCAAAGAAATAACAGTGAGAATTATCATTGACAATTTTTCTATAAAGGATTTTAGAGATGGTTTAATGGATCGATGGCATCATATGCCCGATTCGGTTGTGGATGGGGTGATTGGAGTAACCGCTGATGCACTAGCCGATTTTGTTGGGTACGTCACAAAGTCCCACATTTAATCTAATAGTAAGAAGAAAAATCCCGTTTGTTCTCGTAAGTGTGCCTTTTTAATTTCAGTTGGAACCCGCCCCCGTCGACTTCTTTTCCTGAATCACGCGGAGGTTGTCGATGGTTTGGAACGGCTCCTTTTTTGTTTTGAAACATGTCCGGCTGATCATGATTTCATTCGAGAAGTAGGGGTTAATCGTAGAAATTGGAAGGCTAATAAAAAAATACTAAAACTTTGCTTAAAAATGAGTACATTTTAGTCAAGTGGTCGCTGTGAGAGTGACACAAACAAATGGTGCATTCCTGATGCTTCATTTGGTCAGCCATGTTCTGTCTTTTTCGGTCTTGGAATGACAAAGAAATTTTGCTGCAAGTAAGAAATTGTTTTTGGAGGTGTTCGCCGATTTTCATGCGTACCAAAAGGAGGTCCAATTCAGAAGTGATCCGGTGGATTGTACATGGAGTGGGCGATGGATGGAAGCAAATAATGGATACAATATTTATTGCAGATACGATTCTTCTGTTGGCAGGTTGGGATTCAAAAAGGGTATTTGATGAATGAATGAACAGCTAGGTGCATAGGTAGATGGTTTAAAAAGGTAGGTAATCTAATTCTAGGTATGTAATCTTGTAATCTTGCAAATGCAAACACTTTCAGATGCGGACAACTGCACTGCTCAATCAATCACCGGGATAGAAAAGCGGTTAACACTTCGCTAATTGGTGGGTAAAATATGTTAAACTCAAGCTAGTAAGCTACAACGCAAAATGTTTATGCTAACTTTCTTAATTTTTTTTTAATATTAACTGTCAGAGGGTGAACGATGTGATGAATTATCGATGTGGGAGAGTGAGGGTAAAGCAACATGTGGTCTAATTCAATGGACACGAAATGAAACAGTTCTTAACACTTGGTATAAAACACAGTAAAGTTATCAATAAATTTATCAATACAGAGGAAGGAAGAGAATAAACATTATTTCAATCATTTTTTGCTTTTTACACATGAATAGAGTTTGACAAATTGATTTTTTGCATTAACCGTTTAACTGGATATCTTTGACATTTTCTATTGCTCCACAACTCTTTCACTCATCTTGTCATTCTAAAACGCGCCCCAACATCTAGAGTCTGTACTTTGTCCAAAAGGAAGACCAGAGACCGCTTCAACTCCCAACCAAACCTAGAGATTTTCATCGAAAAATCGAAGTTATTTTCTGAAAATCAATATATTTTTTCTGTTTGCTTTTTTGCTATCTATAGATATGATATGACGTAGTTGTTGGGTACCTTTCTTTTGGATATGTATTGCTAGGAGTGTTAAAGAAACATAGGTAACTTAGCTTTTGAACTTTCTCAACTCAACGTCCCGACTTCATTTTTGAGGGTAATAGATCCATGTAAATTAAATCAAAATTTGCATTATCCAGATTTTGTATTTGCAGTTTATAGCTACAGCGTGTAATTCCATAAAAAACGCTGAATGCTCCAACAGATCTGATGATTATCATTTTTTTGTTCTTCCTTGAGAACCTTTATTGTGCTCCCGTTCTGCCACATTTCGATTTGAAGTTTTCTAGTACTTACTCTTTTTTTTATTTAGATGTCATCTGGGGAATTCTGGCTGCTGTCGGTGCCTGGCGAGAAAAACGCAAATGACGCGTGGGAGAAATTGAATCGAGGCACAGGCAGTCTCTCCGCAAATGCCAAGTTCAACATTCCCGATCTCAAGGTCGGTATAATTAGAGTTGAAATTTTAGCAATGTTTTTTCTGTTTTGCATTCAAAGCACTCATAGTGATTTGAAACGTGAACTAAACACTAGCTTTAAAATGAGGTGTAGTATAAATAAAAAAGTCGATCTAGTTTACATAAAGTTTAAATAACGCCTTCGGTAAATAAACTTCTGGAATGTCTAAATTCTTTACAATTAACACCTATATACGTGTAACAAAAATTTGCATACAAATAAGCATTTGTCATTGGCTAAATTCTATTTTAGGTGGGAACTCTCGATCAACTCGTTGGGCTTTCAGACGATTTGGGCAAGCTCGACACTACTGCTGAAAGGTGGATAATTTTCTTTTTTGCAACGAACCTATTGAATTCCCCCTTCGTTATTTCTTAATTTAATCTTTTAGTGTAACGAGAAAGCTGGTGCAATATTTTGGAGATGTTCTTGAGGATGATCGCGACAAATTGTACGAGCATTTGGTGATTGGAAATAGTGAGTTGTAGTTTGTTAAATAGATACATTTTGATCTTTTTTTTTCTTTTTAGAAGACATGAAGAGCTACGTGACAAAGTTTCAATGGGAGAGCGCCAAATATCCGTTGAAGCAATCGCTCAAAGTCTTGTCGGAAATCATCGGAAAAGTAAGTTGAATTTTTGGGTTTTTATTTTCCTTACCAGTGTTTTGCCAACATTTAAGATGATTTGGTCATTTCAGCAAATCACACAAATCGACAACGATCTGAAGACGAAATCGTTAGGATACAACAATTTAAAGAACACCCTCGCATCTATTGATCGAAAAGCACAGTTAGTGGTTCGAATGACCTGGCCTAAACTGTTAGACTGCTCATAAGCTTGAGTTAACTTTGTTAGAATAATTTCAAATTGGTGCATGAATTGAAAATTTTATTTCAGAGGTTCTCTGATCACAAAAGACCTAAGCGATATTGTGAAAGCTGATGATTTTGTGTTGAACAGCGAGTATCTACAAACTTTATTGGTCGTTGTTCCAAAGTAAGCTTTCCCATTAGTTGTTTTAAAAACACATCTATTTAAGGATAAACGCCAAAGAATGGGAAATGAAATACGCGACAATGCACCAAATGGTCGTCCCCGGATCATCGAGATTGATCACCGAAGAAGGTGCTTAAATTTTACTAATGCTGAAAAAAGATTTCAAGGGTTATCTAAGTTGTAGCTGCGATAACCTTTTATTATATTTTAGTTACCTACTTTGTAGTAAGCAAATTTTAGAAAGTTTTATAGAATATTATCATTTTCAGGTGAACATTGTCTCTACTCGGTGACACTTTTCAAGAAAATAATTGATGAGTTCAAGAATAGCGCCCGCGAAAACAGGTACATAAATTAAAGTATTAATTTGGTTATTTAACTAAATTAGAGTTTTTACGTTTTTTGGCAGCATTTTACAGGATAGCAAAAATTATTTTAGTGAAAAAACATTAACAAACTTCACTAAAATATACCAGGAAAAAAACAGCTTTTCTAATGATTAGATATTTAGGTTTATCGTTCGCGATTTCGTCTATGATGAGGAGTCGTTGAAGGCGGGCAAAAATGAACGAGACAAACTCGTCGCCGAGAAACAACGACAATACGCGCCATTGATTCGCTGGTTGAAGGTTAGGAATGTTTTTTTCATTTTATAGTCATTTCCTTGGTGAGCTTAGGTTTTTACTTAAGTATAATCTAAAGTTCTAAATCGCTTATTCTCTACTCATTTAGATCAACTTTGGTGAAATCTTTGCCGCCTATATCCACGTGAAAGCCCTCCGCGTCTTTGTTGAATCCGTATTAAGGTACTTTTACTTGCACCTTTAGTTCTCAATAACTTATAGGTATGGCCTACCTGTAAACTTCCAAGCATCTATCGTCGAGCCCAACAAAGGAGCCCAAGTATTATTTTGCTGATGTTACCCGTGCTTTAAAAACCTTAACACAAAATGGTTTCTTAGAAAAAGCTACGCATCGAGCTGAACAAACTCTACATCCACCTCGACGGCACAGCGGCCGGTCCCATTGATGTAAGTTTTGGATTGTTGCATATTTTTGCAATGCTGCTTGTGTCTAGTCATGAAAATTCTAACCAATCAGGCTGCTTGCGAATAACGTTCATCGACAAGGATTATTTCTTATATAATTGATATTTTTTAGTCATTTGAAGACAGTCCTGCTTTGATGTCCCTTGGAGTGAACGAATACTATCCATACGTCTTCTTCAAATTGAATATCGATTTTGTTGAGAAACGCTAACCGAATACCCATCCTTTTTCTTGCCGAATTTTGTAAGTTTTTGATGATGAAAGCGATAAATCTATTCGGTTTAATAGCTGTAGAATATAGTTTCATCATATAATATGTAGTTTCTCTTGTTTTGTACATTTTTCTAGATTAGCACCATCCAATTCTCATTGTGATACACGAAAGAATTCCATTTTTATTTGAATTTATTTTTTGTAGATAAAATATTTCTGCATCATGTCGTGCGGTAAAACGTTTATGAACATTCAGACATTTTCATCAGAGATCAGATGCTTTTTAAGCCATAGAATAAATACATAAGGAACAAAGAAATTTGATGTATCAGAAGAAAACAAGCTACAGGCGCAACTATCACACAAGAAATTTTGAAGGCTTTCAGTTCATCCATTTTTGACAATTCGGAGCTCCACATAAACAAGAGATTTTTGTTTCTTCTTCCAATTCAAATTGATAGTCATAAGTCAACTGAAAAGCTCGTTTTTTGTGATCTGTGTTGCATTTGTTACAAACCTCTTCATGGGCTTTTATCGGTCGATTGGCGGTGATAATAATCTTTTTGTCTTCGGCCGATGATCCGGCTTGAATTATCCGCGTAGAACAATTTGGATCACACGAATGATTGATGTATCTGAAATTAATGGTATTGTTTTTTTGTTTTTGTCATTTCGGTTCACCTAGCACATCCGCCGGCCATCGTTGCATCAATCACGCTAAAATTAAAATGCATTTTTCTCTTTTATGGTAAAATACTATCGATTTTTGTGAGATTTTTAAAGGTTAAGGCACTTTTAGCAAGGCTATCAGCAGCAATTTGTTCCAATCGACTAATCGTTCTAAATGCAAAAATTTTTTTTTGTTCGTGTAATATTTCTTGCTTTTGAAATGAAAGGCTTTTTCGTAACAAGTAAGTAAATTTGTAAGCCAAAATGCATCCACAAACATTTCATCGTCGATTCGGAACATATAGACACCTCGGTTCTGAGCTGTGTATCTCTTCTCTCTCACTTCACATATCTAATTTCTCTTTTAGGCTTAGTTTTTCTCTTTTACAAAACCTCGCTTCGTATCAATTCTCCTTTGTATTCAATGATCATTGCGTGCATATCGATATCGGCTTTAGCGTACAATCCGAGCCCTTGAATCTTTGATCTGAAATTTTTCTTTATAAGATCCAGATTTATATTGTTCGACCTTGCAAGATAGACTGTGTTTTGCCATTCTTTCTTCATCTTCTGATAGGCCGTATAGATCGATGCATTGGTTTGTGGTTCGCTGGCTTGGAATTTCATCGCTGCCACCCATTCGGCACCGACGCCCGACGCAGTGAGCATCTTTTGGAACTGAATTTGAGTGTATCGATTTTATGAAATGTTCAACTACCTCCGCAGCTGCTAATTCTTGATCATAAGTGCTTCCATATCGAGCCGATGTCCTTCTTCGACCCGAGATTGACATTGATGTTGATGAGCTACTTGAGGTCGATTCGGTCGTTTGAGCGCTCACCGACGGGCGAGATCGATGCTTCTTGATTAGCGTTCTGAAAATAAGATTTGTCACATGTATTGTTTTGCGTAAAAGTACAGTAAATGTAATGTACAGTACTCTATAATTGTGCAAAAGGACTAAAGAAAATAAGTTCGCTTGACTAAAGATAATCATAAGGGTAAAGCTAAAACGTATTTGTTTTTGTTTCCTGTTCTTAATGTATTATAGTTTTTTGCATAGTTAACCTGCAACGTGGTTCTGTTCTTGCGCATCCAGACGGGTTTTCGGCAAGAGGCAATTCGAGAATGGGTGCTCCTCCATGACGAAAAGAATATGTGTACAGTGTATCCACTCCTTGATAATATCACATTTCAACAGAATCTTTTCTTTGAAAATACCTGGTAGACTTTCCGTTATTTTTGTGATTGCATTCTCTTTCAATCCAAACAATCCTTCCCCTGAAACATTTTTGTTATTGCCATTTTTCGGAACTATCCGCTTATTTCTCCTTTCTCATAAATATGAGTAGTTTTGAGATTTAGGAACATATCGAGGATTAGAATTTCTTTCAAACCAACCACTGAGAGCATTCGGGAAGAAGCGAAGATATTGAATGCTCGGCTTTGATTGTTGTGGAAGTTGAGAGAGGCTATCTCTCGCATTTTTGATCAAATTAAGTGCTAGCTGCCAGGCCACTAAAAGAAAACGTTTAGGATTGACACTGGAAATGATACTTGTTGCAGTGGGTCCCGATCCAATAGATTTTTCAACCAATTGATTATCATTAGCCACATATCGCAGCTGCACATCAAACCAGGGTTTTTTATCCTTTTCCAAGATCTTAATTAATGTTTATTGTTCATGAAACTTGCACTTTTTTTTCTTACCTGACAGATGTACTCCATTCTATATAGGACAGGGCTGAAATCAGCTGGTGGCGTTGGGGGGAAGTAGAAAAAGCGGGAGGCTCGGAAACCGACCTGAATGCATGAGTTTATGGAATCGAATAGTCTATAAATAATAAATAAATAAATTATTTGATTTTACTTAAAATGAGAGGTACACTTTTCAGGATTGCTTAATCTGACAAGGATGGCATTTAAATAATATTTCAATATTCGAACTCACCGGATAAATGTAGTCATTGTTGTGAAAAGCTTTAAGATGTTCAGGCAGAAGTTGTCCAATCGAATGCAATGTGAGTGATCCCAATTTCAACACCATTCTCTTTGTCTCCACTTCAAAAAGTTTTCCCAGTAAAGCATTCTCATCTCGATCAATGTAAAGTCGTCGAACAGCATCCAATCCAGTCAACACCACTTCATTTGTCACTTCATGGTGTCGAGAACAGATAAAGGTCTAAATTTTCAAAGATTAATTGAAAAACAATTGAGAACTCACCCTGTCCTTCAAGAATTTGCTTCCAGCAATCTCCTTTGCACAAGGAAGATGGAAACTCGATTGGCAATCGGCCTTGTGACATTGCATTGAAGCACCCAAACGACCACATTTGTGGCACATTATTTGTTGAGCTCTCTCCACAGCTCTAAAAAGGAATGACTGCTTGAATTTTTTTATCTAAGCTCACTTTTGTACATGTGACAGAGCTCCAGTTGATGGACTCTCGAAAACTTCGGCACTCCAAAGTGCACAATTCACATGAACCCATTGATCGACATCGAAATTCAACAAACGGCCCTAAATTGCGGCATATCATTTGGCTTTGATTGTTCTGATCCTTAAAAGCTTTTTATTATAATTTAATTTGCCAAACCTGTGTAGCAGTCTCGGCATCACCGACCACATCACAGAGTTTGCATTTTCGGTTATCATCTGTCGGGAACACCATATTCATTACACCCATTTTATTCGAATGAGTTGCCAATAGCTAAATTAGATTTGACTTTATAATTCACTTTCAATCAATCCAACCTTTTTGAATTGTTGTACTCGAACAAATGTATCGTGTACTTGAGCCGAGAATATCGCCCATCCTTTATCCTCGGCTTCCCTTTTCACAATACTTCGATTAGTTCCATCGGGGTCATTAATATTTGGAAGATCGGACGCTTTAAGGATCTTAAAATGAAGTATTTCGGGGTTTATTGTTATTTACTTGCCTGAGAGTATTCTTTCTTTCCTTCATCAATCGAGCATCGACTTTCCCTCGATGAAAGGCGAAGAGAATCGGAAAGAATTGGAGCTGCGGCAGTTTGTTCCATCTTTACCTTGAAATATTTAATTTAATTTATAAAAACTTAAATTTGTGGGTATTTTAAAAGTCTATCTTTCTAGTTTAAATATTTGTAACCATATGTAATCTCACCTTTCCTTGAACGATCTTTGCAAAGCTATCAGCTGAGATTTGTTTCAATCGACTGATCGTCTCTTCATCGACATGCCTTTCTGCTTCGGAAAGTTGATCGGGTGAAAGGGGAAGCTGTGATGTGCTTGATATTATTAAAACGCATTGTGAAATCAAACCTTCTTTGTAGCCACAAAAGAGTAGTAACATCGCATTGAACAGAATGATGCCGATTCATCAACCTGTAACAGTTTTTCGTTATAAGGCTCTTATTTTTACAGACAGCTCAACAATGAACACTGTAGAGCAGCTACAGTGTAAACTTAGTTCTTAAACCATTATAGGATATGTCTTAAAAAGTGCCTATCGTAAATACTCTAGAAGCCCCCTTAGGAGCGTCGTGTAATCTAAGTTTACACTCAAAGACCCGATTTTCAATCATTTTTTTCTAGGCGTTGGTTAATGCTAAAAAATGTTATATCTCAAAAAATCGCCCATCCGCTCTACTTTAATTTGATACCTAAGCACGCAGAAACGAACGTACTGGTGTCGAGAGTGTAAACTTAGATTACGCGACGCTCCTAAAGGAGGCTTCTGTTAGAGTATTTACGCTGTTTTGCCAAATCACTTACCCCGTCGTCACTAGCAGGCGAGAGTCCAAGTCGAGAGAAATTTTGCGTGCAAACTGGAACTTGCATGTAAGTGGAACAAGCGCGGCATTTTTCGGCTCCTGCAAAATTCCCAGCAAACGGCTCTTGTTTCTCGACGGATGGTTGTAAGTTTCCATCTAAAAGCAATTCTTGATAACTGAAGTCGAAACATTCTGCAACTAACCATTTGAATAGACAGGCGATAATGGTGGGGTATCGATGGCATACTCGAGTTTCTGTCCATTGTTGAGAATTTTCGCGAGATGATCGAATAATTCTTGGCCTGCTTGGTCTACTCCCGTGTGTTTGTACTAAATTAGGCTCATGAGACTCCTATTTTTTTTTTAAAAAGAACCTTTTCAGCCCATTTCAACAGTTCAGCTTCATTCACATCAATGCAAATCTCAACTTCTTCGTCTTCGTTTTCAGGCTAAAATTTCTAGGTCTTTAAAAGTTTTAAGAAAGCTCACTTTAAAAAATGCGTTCCGAACTTGTTCAAGTGGTGGTAGAGCACCGTCAAATTGACGAATTGACGTTCTGAAGTTTGTCGATGAGTTTTCGATAAGACAAGTAACCGTGAAAGTTTTTATTTGGAAAAACAAGTACCTCAAGAAGGCATCGATTGGTCGTCGAGGTATTGCTCGTACAAGAGTTTTCATCAAATCCCATCTTGACGCTCCTTCCAACAAATCCAACTCGTCGAACTCTAACTCACACGGTGTGGGAATGGCATTGCTAAAACTTTTGTTTAATTGCATGAATTTCCTGTGGTATAACAAGAGCACTCTTGTAATTTCGAAACACCTACGCAAGTGCTTGTAGATTTGCGGCTGGTGCAAACGCTGCCATGCTTGGCCCAGCTTTGATCAATTTTCGGATTGAGTCATCCTGTCATAATTTATTATTCCTTTTTTATTTTTTGAATCTCACCACTTGTAGGATATCATCCATAAAAGTGAAATTTGTTTGTCCAAAATGTTCTCCTTCAATGGGGCTCGGATCTGAAGTAGTTTGAAAATAAGAATCTACTCAGAAATCTTCTAACTTGTTCTATTTCCCTGTGTGATCAGTGCCGAAGTCGTTTGATCTAAATTCTTTCCTTTTTCTATAAAACACTATTTTCTACCTTTCAGTCGATCAGGTAATTCAGTCAATCCCGGCTCAAGTACATGACCGCTTCCCTTCGATTGAACACTTTCAAGGGCACGTCGAGAGAACTTTTCACTCATCCTTAAATTATGATAAATTTGTATATTTTTACTCAAGACATACCTCAATTGACAATTTATCCGTTCAATCATCGTGTCGATCTCGTTGTTTCCACTTGAAACACCAGTTTTCTTCACTTGGGTTCTCTGCAAATGATTTGATTTGTTTCAAACAAATTTTATAACAAAAACACTATTGAATAAAATTCCTCGAAACCTTTTTCTTTGGTTTGGGTGGCTCGAGGAGTGATTCATTTGTGAAATGAGCCAAAGATGAAGGACCACAACCGATTCCAGGCACCATACCACTTGCCGAAGGAACTCCCCCAGATTGTCCCATCATCGAAACACCTTCAAATTTCATCTTGTATTCGAATTGCTCCATTTTGATTAAATTTTGATATTTTCTTACCAATTTGGCCCAAAGGTTTATGTTCGAGCAATCTTTTGAGCATATTCTGTGGAGGAGCCTCGCACATGTCAGTGACCTGAAATTGGAGCGTAGAAAAAAGACACCGATTGAAAATCCCGACGAATAAGTAATTTAAATGGATAACCTTGAAAAGTAAATCATCGACACATTCATAGATTGATCGCTCTTCTTGTGAATAGGTTTGGGAGTAGACCCATTTTCCGCCAGCCAGATATGGAGAACGGAAATGCTAAAACGGGAGTATTGTGAATGTAAAGTAGATACTAATAATGCAAATGTAAAAATTTATAACTTTCTATCATGTTTAAAATGTTATTAAGCACCAAAAATTGTATTTTATTTATAAACCTGTTGTGGTCGTGATGGATATCCTCTTTGGATTCCCGTATTCTGTTGCATTTGGAGATTTGATTCGATAATCTGTAAAATTCAGGATGTTTAATGATTATATATGCTTTCCATAAAGTTCCAATACTATTTGTGTGTTATATACTTTTTTAACATATAAAATACTGGCTTCACTCACTTCTCTCGATAATCCCTGTCTCGAGAGGTACTCATTAATGGCTTGCATTTGTATTTTCATCTCTTGTTTCGTCTTTTCGATATCCTTTTGTTTCATTGGAATCGCGTTCTAAATTTTTTAACCTTCGAAAGACATGAAATTGTTAGAACTTACAGTTAATTGATCCAATTGGAGTTTTTCTTCTTGATTCAAATCAATTGTTGCATTCATTTCGATCTCTCTTTCTGGACTTCCCATTCCTGTTTATCGAAAATTGTTAGTTATTTTGTAGATAAAACCTGGATTCAAATCTGGAAACTGTGTAGAATCATGTGGTGGAATTCCGGGTGTTTGAGCCGAGCTCGATTCCGAGTCTCGGTTGAGCTTTTTACTTTTCATCGCCAAGAGACGTTTTTGCTTTTTCATTTTGCCCAATTCATCTTCGAGATACTAAAACTTTGTTTAAACTATGAAAAAAAAAACATTTTCTTTGGAAACAAACATTTTGTTGATTTTCAATGGCAACAATCCGATCTCTCATCATCAAATAATGATGCATGATTTCTGGGCGAACCACTCTTCCCACGTTTTCACTCGGTTGTATTTCGGGTATTTTTTGCATTCTGAATATATTACGAGTATAAGAAGTGAATGATTCATGTACCCAGGAAAATTTCCTTGACTCATTGTCATTTGTTGATGATATTGTGGAAGAGATTGCATTCCTTGTTGGGATGGAATAACAGGCTAAATTAATTCATATGAAAATGATTTTCTGTTTATGTACCTGATGAAGTTGAGGGGTTTGTGGGATTTGTTGTAAAGGTTCAACTGTTGTTCCACTTCCACTTCCACTCGATCCATCCAATGATTGCCCAGTATTTGAAGTGACACTATCAATTGATGCCATTTGTGTTGCATGCACTTTTCGCTGTCTTGGGATCTAGAACGCAACAATGAAATCATTCAGATTTAATTCGTCACTAACCTTTCCCCGTAATTGTCGATTTTCCCTCGCTTTCTCGACATATTGCTTTCGACTCTCACTGCTTAAAGTACGCCAAAGTCTGAAAATGAATTGGAAAATGTGTCGAGAATTAAAGATTACTTTTGAATATGTTTCACGCGTTCAGTCCATTCAGGCACTTTCTCTTTTAAATGTGGGAAATTGATATTCACATAGAGAACTGCAGCTTTTGTCGCTCTTTCGCCCAATGGTTCATCTTCTTCCCATCTAAAATTTGAATATTTTAAAATTATAGCAGGCAAATTAAATACAAATTCTTTAAATTTTTCTCCGTACCTTTCTGTGGCAGCATTATTTCTCTCAGCAGTGATCATGTCCATTTGTGAAGAAGATCTCGTCAACTCACCCGGTGGTCTCGCCGCAAAACCGGTTGATGTACTGTAAATTAAGCGCTTCATAATATGATTGAACTTTAATTTGATTATAATATAAAGAATTTAATATAATTTAATTTATAATATAAAGAACTTAAACTGATTATATTTAGTTTTTAAAAAACAAACGATTGAGTTGATCCATTATTCGTATTGGCTCCCGATTGCACATCCATTGAGTTATTGCTATCGGTTCCCTGAGAAGTGATTGGATCAAATCCATCCGTTCGAACAAGATCGAATGCATCTAAATTAAAAATGGATTGTAAAGTGTTTAAGAGTCACCCAAAATCAATTCAGGTTTTAATTGTTTACCTAACAAAGGATTATTTCAAACCTCTCAAATCTTCACTCATTGGTTGTCCATCTTCAACTTCCATATCATCATCGTCATCCAAAAAGGCAGCGAAATCAATTCCATCCAAATCCATTTCATGAAAATCGATATTCTCCAAAACGCCTTCCTCTGAAAATAAATGGCATAGAGCTTATTAACTTTTGAATATCCTATATTATTAGATATTCAATTGACATTATATATTTAGATACTCAATCTAAAAGCTTCCTTATTGAGTTACCTTCAATGTTGTTTTGTAATTGTAATGTCTGTTCTGCACTCAACATTCCACCCTCTGTTTTCAGTGGTTGTCCACTTGTTGTACATTCGCGAAGGATCGGCTCCTCGACCTAATCAAACATTAGAAATAAATATGATCTAAATTGTGAGTCTTACTTGAACATCAATAAGTTGTTTTCCTTCAAGACCGGGCACTCCAAAGAATCCTTCCTGTATATTTGGTGGATAGGCATCTTCGAGGAAAGTTCGTCGTGGTTTTCTAAAGTTTTAGCTTTTGCTCTATTTTCTTAATGTTTGTTCAGTGATTTTCCTATTTGTTCTTATGTTCTATTTTCTTTTTCAAACCTTGGTTTTTTCATTCTCTTTTCCTCGGATTCCTCCTCTTCTATGGTGGTTTTGATCTTTGGATTTCTCACGACAAACCCTCCAACACCAATTCGTAACACCTGGAAACCCCAATTTCATTAATTTTAGTTTGTCTTTTAGATGATGTGATGTGTAATAGATGTGCATTGTGTAATAAGAATATTCAGGATTACAGCTGTTATCGAAACCGACCCTTCCTCTACTTCCACCTCTTCCTCGACCTCTTCCACTTGTTGGAACTTCGACGACTTCTTCTTGATATTCCTCCTCAATATTGCTCCAAACTAAATTTTCCTGTTATTTTTGAACGAAATTATGATGATTTCCAAACGTATTCATTCCTATTCACAATGCTTAGCAAATCAATAATCAAATCAATAATCAAATCAATGAACTCACAATCAAATGATGACGATCGATTTGACGCAAAAGCATTCCCATGATCCGGTCTATATTGTGGTGGCATATATGGAGATTTGAGTATTTCATCAGCTTCTTTATGTAAGATTACATTATCCACAACGATCATTTGCCCATGAGAACCAAAAGCTAAGAAATAATTTTATGTTAAGCATTCTTGAAATCCCAACTTTGTGTGAAAAGACCTCTAGATGTTGGTCGACAACTCGAGCAACGCATTTTATTTGCCGCCGCGTTTTCCATGTCCTCGGCTGAGAAAAGACCCTCACAAGTGCCGTGAAACCATCTGAGAATTGATTTCTCGGATTAAAATATAAGTATTACCTTGTACAAGAAGCACATCGAATAATCTGATCACCGATTTGGTAGAGTTTTGTACATTTTGGGCATTTGCGAAGAGAGTAACAACCACGACAAAGCCCTTCTCGAGTCAATTCAGAACAATCATTCACTCGAAGATCACATCGACGACAACGTAGACAACTAAATGTGATTGTTTTTGAAAGTGTTAGATTAAAAGATGCTTTCATCGCCTCATTAACTTTTAAACTCACTATTTACATCTCCAGGCGCCAGTGGGGATGCTCTGAAGCGGTGGATCGAGACAATAAATGTGATAAGCTGTATCACATTCATCACAAAGAAGCAACTAAATTTAGGATTTTGAAAACTTTACTAAACTTAGCTAAAGTTTTGATACCTTGCTATCATCTTTTCCATCTCCACATCCCTCACAAATCGTGCAATCCAAACATCTCCATCCACGATTCACAATTGTGTCTCGGATCTGAAATACCTAGTAGAATAGAATTTAAATGGGTTTTCCTGACTGCTTTCAGTGATTATTCTAGAAAACTCACTTTTTCATGCAATCCGACACAAAAGGTGTGATAAGCTTGAGCACAATTTGCACAACAAACAAATGATCTTTCTTCTCCTTTTCCAATACTCCCACAAATCAAGCAAAGAGGTGCCTAAATTAATTGTATATTATAATTCAGCATTTTCTTTTCTTCTCAGCAGTTAGTAGCCATTTAACCTCACCCAATACCTTTTTACTCACCAATCCTTTTCCTAAAATGAATAGACACAAAACCCTAGAAGAACCCCAAAAAGATCACGCCGATTTGATTTGGTAGATTTTTGCGTTTTAGAGAAATTATTGAAGGGAACGAACGAGGGGAGAGGGAGTACTTTGAAAATGCGCTACAAGAACATAATAGATTTTACGAAAGGGGGAGAAAACTTAACGGGACTCGGCATAAAAGCCGGACAATATTCAGGATTCCATCATAGAATGCCAAAAAATGAAAAAGAATAGCGGGGTTGGCTAATTTCCGCCATTATCGCCAAAAGGGGAATTTTTGTGCGGGGTACGGTAGCGCGTCCAGGCGTTAGAAAGCGCGCCAGTTCCTTTAAATCGCATGTAAATAAGATTCTAACTCTGCATTTTCCTTTCTTTTCACCTTTTCCATAAATTCATCATCAGCTGCGTAAACAACTGCCGTTCTGACATATTCCATATCAATCGGGGTTTTATCTTCGAGATCTTCAATGAGTTGCTAAAAAGGTTTATAAGTTTGCATAATTAGTAAAATTTAAGGCATTTAAAAGTCGCAAACAATATCGAACCTCATCAATCTCTCTTGTTGTTGAGTATTGAGCAGAGTGAAGATGTTGGAGGACATTTGCGCTTGTTGCCACACAAGCAAGTTGGCCTCTATAGCAAAACGTTGCAAACACGATACAGACAAGTTGCAAATGCGCAACACTTGCTCTTACCTTGCTCTTCGCCCTCTTGTCCCTTTTCCACGACTCCCATAAGCGCCTCGACTTCCTTTCCCTCGTTTTCCACGAGTTCCCTAGATTTTTTTGTTTTACTTGTTCTCCTTTTTTATTACCTGTGTCAATTTGTCCATATAGTGTCCGGTTGGGGGCATTCCTCCCGATCTAGTCTTCATGAGATCAATTCCCCCGGGTCCAATCATTGTCGATGTTCCTCCCCTTCCACCTGGTTTTTTCCCTCTCGATCCCCTTCCCCGACCTCTTCCTCTTGGAACATATTGTCTGAAGCTGAGTTTCAAATAGAAATTCAATCTAAATAAAGAATTGCTTACCCAGGTGGCTTAAATTCTTCTTCATCATCACTAGGTGGTTGATAAAAGGGAGAATTTCGTGCACTGTCACTCTCAGTAGCGGGTGAGGCTCCCGTGGCTTCGTCTGAAATTTTAAAATTGGATATTTACGTGAGTATGCAACAGTTATCTATCAACTTTCATACACACTGACCACAACTTTGAGTGTCTTCTCCACTTTGGTGTGTAACTGGAGCCGGCAAATGGTAGAGATCTTCAGGAATTTGTTGAAGATCATTTCGTGCAGGTGTTGCACCAAAAACCTCAAGTGGTTGCTCTACCTGAAGAAATTGAAAATAACAATGTTCTATTTGTTCTTGTAACTGTAGTCGTTATTTTAAAACTGACCGTTGGTACGTTGACCAAAGGGCTCGCTGGTTCTTGTGTGGACAACATTGTATCAAAGACCTTGAATATCAAAAATTATTTTAAAGTTATCCAATTCTTACCACTGGTAATTGCAGACAAGAATTGCATTTATATTCTTCAAGAATTGACAAAGATCTTGGACAACATTCCAAATGAGCAAATCTGAGAAGAAAAGTGAATTGCAAATTGATCATTATATAAGTGGAAGCGCCCAATTTTCCTTGTTTTAACTCACTTTTTGCACAAAACGCAAGATCGAGCCGTTTTTGGATTTGGAATGAGACGCTTGCAAATTGAGCATTTGGCTCCAGTCAATGGGGTATTTGAGAAAAGAAGTTGAGTGGATCCAGATGTACTTCCCTTGCAATTCTGAAAACGCTTTATCTAGAACAGAAAGCTGCAATTTATTCTACGCTAAATGCTAAAATAATTTCTCCTGTTGAAAACTGATTGCCAAGCGTAGCTAGAACAAAAAAAACACTGCAATTTAAAACAATAAGAGACTTTACAAATTGCACTTACATAGCACAATCCATCTGTACAAAATCCCTCGTCTCCACACTCAATACACTAAATTGCCCATAATTGGCCTAAATCTTGTTCAAGACTTACAAATCCCATTTCTCCGCTTGATGACATTGCCTGGAGTGGCCAATCTGTTGTGTGCCGAGCTCTGAAACCGATAAATAAAGCTTTTTGATAGTATTTTTGGAATATATATGGTAGTCATCAAAACGCACGCTAATTTGTTAACAAAATTGTCGATTCGGCTCGATTTCGATTGATGTTTTTGATCAGAAGATGATGGATCCATAATCCATAAGGCTGAAATGAGTTGAGTTTAAATGCATTGTGTAATCGCATAAATATTTGGCCTCATTTCAAAACCATTGAAAACTATTGTTATCTAGATGAAAGGTAGGTATTAGTAACAAAAATAAGTGAAAGATGCTTGAGATTTGATATATCTGATCGATAGATACTTAAGAAAGCTTTTTGGCTAAGATCCAAAAAGAATAATGCAAAGGGAACACAAAAGGAAAACGGTCAAAAGAAGCGACCCGTAGTTTAGGGAATGGCTAGAGAGATCTGTTGAGAGAGATCTGTTAAGAGAGAGATCTGTTCAAATGAAGCGAGTCTGTTCGGAGAAATTACACGCAGAATAAAGAAGAAATTGTTGAGAAAATATAAAGAAGGTAATTGTTGTGAAAATTGATAAATCTGTCAATAATTGGGAGCGAAAGTCATCGCTTGGCTTATTTCAGTTACCAAAGTGGTATTTCAGTAGAGCAAGTCAGTTGTTTAGGCTCATAGCTTTCTTCCAGTGTGTAGGTGGTAAAATAAAACTTTATGCAAATTGACGAATGATGGATTACAAGATTGTTTTGTGTGTTTGATATCCAGTGATATGTTGTGGAGACAAAAGAGTTGTAGGCCATGCACCAAGGGGATTCGAACGACCGCCATCACTGTCCTCCTGAAACAAATTGCTTATTTCATCAATACTTTCCAACAGATCACCCTTTTAAAATTGGAAATTGAGATTCAGAAAATTAAGTGAATAGTAGAAAAGAAAGAAAAAACACACTCGATTTAGGATACCGTAGACAGACGAAATTCCCGGGAAGACTGAAGGTTGCTTACAAGCGAGAACGAAACCAAAAATTGACATTGTTAATTGCACTCCAACCAGCTCCAATGCGACAAAATAAGGCCATCTGAAAGCGGATTGAATTTTGAAGAAAATAAGTAAAAAAGTGACAAGAAAAGCCATATAAATCTTAAATATTACCTCATTCGACAAATACCGAGATCATACTTTCTCGAATCACACGTTTCTCTAACTTTTGGATGATCCCATCCATTTGGATAGAGAATACAAGCAGATAACATGGCACAAACTGAAATTCGAACTCTTTTATAGTAACAACAATCAATTATACGCTTTATGGATAGATTGAAATTAAAACTAAAGCACGGAAAAGCTCAACTTACACGAAAACATGTGCATCCAGGCACACAACAAGAAAACGAATCGATCACGCAAAAGAACTAGCAACTGAATTTTCAAAAACTTCGATCAAGAATGTACAAGTTATTTTAAAGTTTCGTATTCGCTGTTTACCAAAATAGCTGTGACGATAAGGAGTGAGCAAATTGTGGCCACCATAACAAGAGCCGCTGATAATTGAAAAGACCATGTAAGTGATTGAACCTGAATGATTTGTTTTAAAGAATGAACGGTTAGATAGATTCGATAATTGATCAAATTAATCAAATTTTATGGATAAACTAGTACCTGAAAGATTTTCCAAGGACAATTATCCGAAAGGCAATAATCATAAAGACCAAAGTATCCGCCTTCTTCTGATTCGATCCATGTCGGATGGACAAGAACGAGTAATTGAAGTACAGCTAAAATTGAAGAAAGTCAAATCTTAGACTTTATGATTTGTGAAATCAATTCTGTGATAAACACACCTGAGCAAAGAGCGAAAAGTACCCAAATCGCACCAGAGACCCTCCAATTTCTTACATAAACCGAATGGTAATCGAGAGAGATTTTCTCCATCTGATAATTCAAATATTTGAAAGTAAAGATAATTTTGCAATACTTTTGGGACAGGGTAGAACATATAGCCGTGCGTAACCGTTTATTGCATTAAAACATGAAGAAAGCCTGTGTTTTAAGTAGCCGAGACTTTTTTTTTGAGATGAAACGAAGTATTGAGTGTATCTGAAGACTCAAGTGCGGATTTGTTTGTGAGAGAAGGAATCAAAAGAAAGGAGGTAAAGAAATGAAAGTGGTGGACAGGACAGGGAGAGGAGCGTGGTCGAGCTGTCCCCTGTCTACCGTCTACCCTCTCTCCTGAAGGCATCGAACTTCGTTGTGTGTGGTGATCTGCAAACATTCTTCTTTTCTTTCTTCTCTTTTCGTTTTCTTCTTTTTAATCAGATGATCGGTCGATTACGATCAAGTAGACAACTTTAGTCTTTCTCCACAATAAATAGCTCACTTGCAAATGATGTTTACTCATCAGTCAGCTCAAATTTCAGAATATCTTTGTGTTTATCTATGTTACATTATTATGTATCCTTTGTGCTCTCAAAAGTTTAAATCTTTATGTACATTATATTCAAATGTTTTATTTATTCGAATTCGATTCTGAAGAGATCACAGTAGCAAATGAGCACGCTGAGGGGAAGATTACCTAAAAAAAGATCAGAAATATTTGTATTAAAAAGAATCAAAAGAAAAGAGAAAACAGAACAAGTTTACATCGAAAACTTGAAGTTTTATATGACAAATATTTCACCGGTGTTGTGTGATCATTGTTGTTTTTGTCTTTGGTGGAGATGATGAGGCAATCGGTACATAGGCCATCATTTTGAGACCCTTTCCACGTTGATACGGTCTAAATTTGATAATTCGATCGATTTGATTGCTTAATTTCTTGAAATCTTGAAAAAAGTGCAGACAAAGAACAAAAGCTCGTGCAAAATGAAACAAAAAAAAAGAGAATACATGACTACAATGAGTTTACCGATAAGAAAATGATGATCCAGAGTCGATTTATTTGTATTAATAACATGTAATTCTGGATCAATCATTTATAAATTTATTTAAGAAAAAGAAAAGAATAATTGAGCATTTAAAGAGATTGTTTTATGTGAGATTTCATGTGAGATTTCATGTGAGACATTCTTGTGAGACATTCATGTGAGACATTCTTGTGTTGTAGATCAAAAATTGGACCTTCTTGAATTGTCGGTGAGAAGTCGTAACTCGTCAAATTTGATGAATGGCATAATACGAGAAGAAAAGAAAAGAAATCCTTCACGAAAACGAGCATTTCGAAGGAAATAAATTAATGGATTCACAATTGAATGAAGCATTGCAAGTCCGTGACAGAACCACCTGAAAAAATCGTTTGATTCGATGATAGACTAGCATCTTTCATCAGCTTTTCTACACGAAATTGAGTCAATCAACTCACCAAAGATAAAGAATATAATTCCAATAGTTAAGCTCGGGCCATACATCAAGAATGATATTGAATAGGAGAAGTAACGGAAGCCAACAAATGGCAAAAAGGGCTGAGACAAGGACGACCATTGGAATCAGCTAAATTTAAGGATTCAAATCAAAATCAAATTAGCCTTTACTTTTATATTTAAGCTTTTCATTATCTCAATACCTTTTTAACACTTTGGTGTCTTTCAACAATAATCTTTTTTGTTGATGCACTGCCCACTCCCGGGACTCGACTATTCCACATTTTGACTCCAATATAAGTGTAAGTGATGATGAGAACAGTTTGTGGAACTGAATATTGAAGAGCAAGCACAAGATACGAATAGATCTTTTTTGCCTAAATCAAGAAATTTGAAGCATTGAAATGAATCATGAATCAAAACTTACCGATTCTTCATCATGGAAATAGTTCCATTTCTCGACACATCTATGCACTCCCTCTTCTGTGACTTGCTGGGTGACCAACTAAATTTTGATTAGACTGTGTTCTTCTTGCTAAAGTGTCTTTTAAAAGAAGCCCATAAAATAATAAAAAGAAGTCCAGTTACTATTCAATTAAAGACTCGGAATTGCACAGTTCATGCACAAAAACTCACAAATAACGGTAGAGCCATAGTGAGTGAGAAGATCCACGTTGTAATCACCATATAAGTAGCTCTCCTTCTTGTCAATCGCATTGAAGGAGCCAACACAAAAGTGATTGCCATCCATCGATCGAAACTGAACATTTTTTATGGCTTTTATTTAATAGACGTTTTGTGTTTTTTTACCTGATAACTACTAGAGTCCAAGACGAGAGAAAAACGGCGGCACCTTGAAAGAATGAAAGAACAGAACAAAGAGCTGAGCCGAAAATCCATCGTTGATCATCAAAGATTAGAATCTACAAGGAATGAACTGATTGGTCGCTTAAAATAGGAAATAGTTGGTATGTAAAACTGTTTATTATTTAAAAACAAACCTGCCAATATGAAAAAGGCATACAAAAGATTCCAATGAGGAGATCAGCTGAAAAAGCATTTATTTTTCTTTTACATTTTACATTTTCGAAGCTTTTACAAAGCTTCAAAAATACTTTATGACTTTACTACTTTATTTGTATCAATTATTTACCAATAGCTAGATTGAGAATCAAGATATTTGTGGCTGTACGAAGACGTCGAAAATAGATAATAACCATGATGACGAGGAGATTTCCATAAACGGAAAAGATACAGAGTAAACTGTAGAATGAAATACAGAGAATCTAAAAATAACATTGAGTAATAGGGTTTTTTTATATTTTCTTGAAACCTTCAAGCTGAGTGGAAGTCGGAAAACATTTTCCCCTTCAGACAAAAGTGTGGCTGTTGTGTTGTCCATTCTAGAAAATTTTGAATAAAAAAGAAGAAAAAGAACAAGGAAAAGGAAACAAGGAGTAAAAAATAAGCAAAGAAAAGAAAACATTTAAAAAATCATTTAAATATATGGTCTTGTTATCGATTTTCGATGAAAACATGCAATTTGAAAGTAAATAGAGAACTGAGGATTGAATTGGCTTCTTGAGAGAAGAAAAATGACGTCAAATGATGGGTTGAATTAAAAAGAAATGAGTGATATTGTTTAGAAATTAGAGAATAAAGTGTTACGCAAAAAATACATTTATTTCTTTCCTCTGTTTACTAAGGATTTTGAAAAATCCAATCCAATCCACGATCCAATCCAATCCAGTCACTTCTATAAAAAACAAAAATTAAGTATTCCGCGAAAAACATGTGAATTTCTGCAGCAATTAATGATCATGAGTTGAAATTGTAACCCAAGAAGTGTCTCGAAATGGAAATTGGAGAAAAAAGGGACAATGGAGTGAGTGACGGAATGGGAAAAACACGATCATTTGAATCAGATTGCGAAGGAAAAATGTTGAAAAGGGATTTCTGGGCAAAAACTATAGAAGAATAGAAGAATAGATATTTTGGTAGATTTAATCTTTTATTTCTGACTAGATAGAGTCCATGATTTCTGTGTGGATTTACAAGTCAACAATTGGCAACTTTTTTTCATTTATAATACCTGAAATCCGTAGATCAAAATTTTCTCTGATACTTGTGCTTTGAAATGGTTTTATTTTGCAGTACTTCCTTTTTCATTAAGTAAAAACTCTATGAAATGTGGGATTCCACTCAATTTCATCTAAAATCTCTCGTTTCCCCATTTTCCGTTCTCCCAAATTGTTTCACCGATTCAGTGTCCCAAGCTTTTCCCCCATTTTTTGCTATCCTCTTCCCTAATTGCAGCAAAAAAGATCAGTGCCAGATTTTCGCAAATGCATAAAACATTAAACAAACAAAACATTAAACAAACAAAACATTAAACAAACAAAACATTAAACAAACAAAACATTAAACAAACAAAACATTTAAGATTCATTTGAAGGACTCTATTCAACACGTTCGATTCAAAATCTTTGAACAAAAAATGAACCAAAAATGAAATGAGAATGAAAAATAAATTTTCGATTGTAAAATTCTCTGTGAATAGCATAAATAGGTTACTAAATCGAGTTCGCAATTCGAATCATAACCCTGATGTCAAAACAGGAAGTGAAACTACGATCACGTCGTCAAAACAGCCAAAACTTTTGTTTAGGAGAAATTTGTATTTCTAAATCCCCAATGGATAAAAGACGTGATGTTTTTATGAGTCTTTTCCCCTTTATTCTCTCATATGATGAAATGAAATGAGATGTCCTCTTTTGCTTCAAAAAAATCGAGTTCAAAAAGCATTCCTCTAGAAATCCCCCTTGAGAGATCTTTTCAGAGAATAGAATACCTACGAAATCAATTTATTTTCGATTCTCGGATATTTTATACTACGTACTTGGGGTGTATTACTAGAAAAACATTCTGCAAAGAAAAACATTTTGCAAACATGACCAAATTTACGTAACCAGTGTTTTAGAAATGGTTTTCAATTTTGCGATTAACAACTTGTGCTAACTAGATGATCAACTAGTAGGTAGGTCTGATACGATCAGTGCATTAATGAATTTGTTAGCGAATCATTTATATTTAATCACTTTGATCAAATCTAGCAGCAAATTGCTAGCAAATTCATTGATTAAAGTCTTACCATGAAGATCTACGATAAGTTTCCAAAAAATGGATGAACATTGTCACTCTAAAGGCAATTTTTCTTTCAAAATGACTCTCAGACACGAGGAGATCCAATTAGGTATGAAGATGTTGCGATGAAAAGAATTGGTAGAGGATGAAAAGTGAAAGAAGGAAAGATTCAAGGAAGTATCATCAGAAAGGCGAAATCAATTGCAAAAGATCCAAATGAACAAAGATTAATTAATAAAAGCTGCATTTGGCATAGAAATTTGTACGATCTTTTTACTACTCTATCGTTTATCTATCGTTTATCTATCATATTTCACTTGATTCTAAATCCATGGCCCTTTTCTGATTCAAAATCAATCTTTTTACTTTTAAATGTGCTTAATAAAAACAATTTTTTTGGAGACAAAACTTTTGCAGAAAAAAGTGAGCTAAAGATAAGAGATGAGCATACAGAAATGTGAAGGATGTCGTGGGAAAATTCTTTGGTTTTGAGGAGAAGAAAAGGAGAAATTCAACCCTTGAAGGACATCGACGTCAAAAAAAGAGAAAAGGGTCAGATGTTTTTCTCCCAGGTGAATTGGGAATTTGTTTTTGAGTGAAATTGGTGAACATCACTACATAGGTGAGGAAGTTAAACAATTCCAAATATAGACAACTATAGTTGCTAGAGATTTACACATTAATGCTACAAATTTGTAGAACTGCAAAGTTGTATTGAAGGGTCGAATGTATCACGATTGAATCTCTACGTTGAAATCTCTACGTTTCTTTAAAAGAAACGGACTAAAGAGAAAGATACTGCTGCAGAAATAGAAATAGATAAAAAACGTGTTTAAAAGAACAAATGCAATGCTTGTAGTAGATCGAATGAGTTTTTGAGTGGGTGAGATTATCATGTGAGTCCTCTTCGTCTCTTTTTTTTGTGTGTTTTGTGGCTGTAAGTAGAAGAGAAAGAGATGGGAATTTTCTCAACTCCCGATCAGCCTTAGGCACAAATGTACACATGGGAAAAGATTGAAGAAGATGAAGAAAATGAGAGATGTCCATGATAATTGAAGAGGTAGAATGAGAAAAAGGTGAAGAAGAAAAGAAATAGACAGACCAAATCATTTGACATTGAGACAAAACGTCATTGATTCAATGTGGAGGAGAAGTTTTTCCTCTTGTAGGCTCCTTGGAAAACATTGAAGATTTGAAAATGAAAGGACATAGAATGGGACGACGTTGAGGCTAGATTTGACTAGAATTAAAGTTGGAACTAGAGCAGACCAAAACATGTGCGCCGGACTAGAACCCGCGAATTTTCGCTTATCGAACCACTGCGCTAACCATTACATCACAACGCACTAGATCTCCCTTACTCCAGTGGCAGGAAACTAAGGTCTTCGAATGCTTTATGGTGTAATGGCTAGCACAGTTGCCCGGTAAGCGAAAAATCGCGGGTTCGAGTCCCGGCGGTGTACAAGTTTTGGTCTGCTCTAGTTCCAACTTTAAAATTTTAAACTTTTTCTCCTTCAATTTCAAAGATCCTCAAAGATTAAACTTGTCATTCTCCTTTTTTGAAAAAAACTCCTCTAATCAAAACCCAATTTCGGAGAGGACTTAACGCGCCTTTGAAAGAAAAAGGAAAGAGAGGTGCTTGTGACTCTTGAACCCGTCACATTCATTTAGGCTTGATTTTTCTGATTTTGGTTTAGCAAGGTGTTCCACAGGAAAGTAAACTTTTCAAATTTTAAATCAACGGATGCTTTGTTTATCCTTTTTTTGTATTGAGCCTGCATCGATGCGATCAAAATAAAAATTCAAAAAAATTCAAAAACTCAATTCTTTTTCAGTTGAACTTTGGTAATTCAATTTCCTGAATCACTAAGTGTGCTCTTCAACTAGTAAATAAACCAAACCAAAGTTTCGATCTTTAAATAGAAAGTTTAATGAGAATGAGCAGAGAGAACCGAGCTCAAGAAAGAAGGAAATTGCGCTTTTATTTCTATTTTCAAATTCTTGTAGGTAGAATTACTCAGTTTTTTAATTGCCAAAAAAAATGGCGACAGAAAATTCTAAGAAACCAATTAGCAATTCCTTGGAGATTGAAAGAACCTTTAGGCTCATTTGAAAAAGAATTTTTTGGTGAAATGTTTCAAATAACATAAATTAGGGTAAACTTTTTGTACCTCTTTGTCATCTGACATTTTGGCGAAACAGGAAATCCAAAAAATCTATCCTTTTTTCGAGAACAGAAGCTTATCAGTGGGAAAAAAGATGGAAGGCTTAGACATAAGCTCCCAACTACTGAATAAGAAGAAAATGAAGCGGGAAAGGGGAAAAGGGAAAAAGATAAATGATTATAAGCTTTTCATTTATAATCCGATATAAGGCTCAGTGAAAAGGCAAATATTTGGAGGATTGTACTTTCGAGCTTGGCCATCAAAACTCAGGAATAAATCTCTGAATCAGGTCATAACACGAGCTCCAAGGAAAGGCCAACTTGCTGAGGTGGCTAATTATTCCTGAAATATGCAAGCTTTTCATTCACATACTAACTCTTGACAGTTTGAGACAGTATTTAGTGAACTGAAAATCTTATTTGAAAGATAAAAACCTTTGAGAAATTCTTGAAATAATCAAACTGCAAGAGCAAAGGAAAATGAGACCGAATGGTTGAAGTTTGTGAAAAGATAAACATTGAAAGAAAAGCAGATGAAAGCAGATGCTTTATTCTTTCATTGCTCCATTGACTTGTGAGATCTCGTTGCTTTTTTTTCTTTTAGAGAAAATTGTCGAGTTTTTCACAAGTCGACCCGAATAGAGAGAAGAGCAATTAAAGTTGAAAAATGGACGCAAGAAAATGATTGTTTGATAGTTTTTGCGAAAAAGTGTTCGAAGCTGCTTCAATTTTCAACGATAATGTTATGCTATCATGAGCAAAACACCAAAAGTCAATTCGATTCTTTTCAATATCGATATTCTCCAATAGTTTGGTGATTGATTACATACGGAGTTTCAAAAGATCAACTGGACTGATGAATAAGATCCGAAACGGATAAAACGAACTCAAACAGAGGAATTCAAGGTGAAAACTCTTTAAATCCACGAATCGATAGGCAAAGAGAAACCTCTAAACGTTCTATTCCGTTCTTTTTGTGAAAAGGTGCGAAGAGGTTCACACTTCCCAAGCTTTATAGTAAGGGAAGGGCTAGGAAAGATGTTAACGCATAACTTCAGTACACTATGTCTTACAAGATTCTGAGAAAGGATAGT